AGAACAATGATTAAGATGGGCGAGTATACCAAAAAGAACAAGACCGAGAAAAAGAAAAAGACAGAAGTCGACAAAACTACTTATAGACCTATAAAGCTAGGTCTATAAAACTAGGTAGTTTTATAAACCTTGCAGACGTCTGAACGTATATAAAACTAGGTAGCTTTATACACGGTGGGCCAGACCCCCTTACCGTGCACCCCCCCCCACATCCCTATAAATTGCATATCGTTGTGTTCCTTGTGACAATTTATTAAAAAAAAACCAATGTTCCCACAAAAAAAAAGTGAACGAACGGCCCCAAAATGGCGTCCAAACATGGCGGATTGACGACTTTGACTTTAGTTAGTTTTTTTGTTACTGAGAATCAGCATTTGGCTTAATTTCATAATAGTTGGTCTTTTATTAAAGCTGGATAGTCATAGAATAATAAAACATGAAAAAATATTAAAAACTAATTGGCTTAGGCATTAAAAAAAATCGGTAAAGTCAATTTTTTTTACAAAAAAATTTTCAAGTTGAAACTCAAGCGTCGTTTGTAATTAAACGGTCAACAATAATGCAAAATGGGCTGAAATAAAACATCTGGAGAATACATTTTTCTTTCTAAAACACTGATTACTTTTTAAAATATTTGAAGTAGTTCCATAGAAAATGTACATAAGCGGCAGAAAAGCGCTACTGGCGTAGGTGCCTCAGGCCTCTACCACACCACTCAGTACTCATAAATGGCTTAGTTATAGTGCTATAATAACGTTTTTGTTATATTATATTGATTGTATTAACGAACAAATATCAATACAATAATTTAATTGTCAACAAAAAATTTTGTTTATTTTATTATTATTTTTTTTATTTATTATTATTTATTTTTTAAAATTTAACTTCCTTTATTCTATACGGAGGTAGCTTAAGAAGGCCTCTATTATAAAAATTATATAATTATAATAATACAACTTAATTCAAAAATACTTTGGAGAATATCTTGAATTTTTTATTTAATATTTGCCATTATACATTTTGTTTTATATATTTGCTGATTCTTAGAGGTAATATAAATTGTATATACTTCCCCGGAAATGAGTGATATTAATATCCGGTTTTATAAACTAAAATAATATATACGTAATCTGAACGACTTTTAATGAATAGGTGATGGATTGTTTAGTAAAATTCATATATCGCTATAAAAAAAATCATTTTTATTTCCTTAATTATATTCGGAAGTTGGACCATATCATAAAAAATATGAACTTTTAATATTAAATGCATTATTCCCTCTGCACAAAATAAGGATGGAAAGGGCGAAGCTATAAGTTCTTCTAGGTAACTGGAACTGATTGTTAGTATTTGGTCTCAAAATGAGGGAAAAAGCGAAATTGAACCCAAACATTGGAAAAAATACATTAAGCGAACGACAAAGGAAGTGCCAAAATTTCGGAAAAGAAAACAAGGATCAGTATCCGTTATAAGGCTAAACGAATATGTAGTAGACAAATGAACAGAATATTTCAAGATGCTGCTAAAAGGGGGTCAAAATGCTTGATCAGTTTGGATGATATTAAGCAGGTTTATTATGGTGAAGACCATTTCATCAGCAAGAAAGATTTGTTCTAAGCAATTGGCAAGTCAGCAGGTCTGGACGAAGTAACCCGAAATGCTGTGCGTACAAAGGCTACAAATGTATTAGAAAATGATATGAAAGGACTGTAGTTTTGTCCGTTTATAGGAAATGAGATACTAGGAAATGTTATTCGAGATTCCTTACTGTTTATACCAAAGAAAGTCAAAGTGGTGAAGCCATTTCATCTGCAAGAAAGATTTGTTCTAAGCAAATGGCAAGCAGGTCTGGAGGAAGTAAACGAGGTTTATAATAATGAAAATCACTTTATTTTAGATTGATATTGAAGTTGCACGTTGGGACTATCTTCACTTTGAAGCAGGTTATAGAGAGGTCTATCGATAAAGGAAAATAGTTCTCCTCCTGTTTAGTGCAATTGCAAAAGATTTTTGAAGGAATCTGAAAAGAAAACGAGCTTTTGTGAAAGACTGGTAGATATTAGATCAATCCAAAGTGTGAGGCACTAAGCAGATAGAGAACCATTGTTCTTTCTCTGTGGATTTCTCTATAACCTACCTTAAAGTGAAGACAGTCATAATTTGCAGCTTATGTTCCAATGTGCAACTTGAGTTTCTCAATCCATATCGCTCAGGCAATCGACAATATTTCTAATTTTAGCTTCTACGATTCTTGAGTAGACTTTCTTTGGTACTATAAACAGTAAGGAATCTCGAATAACATTTCCTAGTATCTCATTTCCTGTAAAGGGACAAAACTACAGTCCTTTCAGATCATTTTCTAATACATTTTTAGCCTTTGTACGCACAGCATTTCGGGTTACTTCGTCCAGATCAGCTGACTTGCCATTTGCTTAGAACAAATCTTTCTTGCTGATGAAATGGTCTTCACCATAATAAACCTGCTTAATATCATCCAAACTGATCAAGCATTTTGACCCCCTTTTAGCAGCATCTTGAAATATTCTGTTCATTTGTCTATTATATATTCGTTTAGCCATACAACGGATACTGATCCTTGTTTTCTTTTTCGAAATTTTGGCACTTCCTTTGTCGTTCGCTTAATGTATTTTTTCCAATGTTTGGGTTCAATTTCGCTTTTTCCCTCATTTTGAGACCAAATACTAACAATCAGTTCCAGTTACCTAGAAGAACATATAGCTTCGCCCTTTCCATCCTTATTTTGTGCAGAGAGAATAATGCATTTAATATTAAAAGTTCATATTTTTTATGATATGGTCCAACTTCCGAATACAATTAAGGAAATAAAAATGATTTTTTTTATAGCGATATATGAATTTTACTAAACAATCCATCACTTATTCATTAAAAGTAGTTCAGATTAGGTATATATTATTTTAGTTTATAAAAACGGATATTAATATGACTCATTTCCGGGGAAGTATATACAATTTAAATTACCTCTAGGAATCAGCAAATATATAAAACAAAATGTTAAATTGCAAATATTAAATAAAAAAATCAAGATATTCTGCAAAGTATTTTTGAATTAAGTTGTATTATTATAATTATATAGTTTTTATAATAGAGGACGTCTTAAGCGACCTCCGTATAGAATAAAGGAAGTTAAATTTTAAAAAATAAATAATAATAAATAAAAATAATAATTATAAAATAAATAACAAATTCTTTGGCAATTAAATTATTTTATTAATATTTGTTCGTTAATACAATCAATAGAATATAACAAAAACGTTATTAAAGCACTATAAATAAGCCATTTATGAGTACTGAGTGGTGTGGTAGAGGCCTGAGGCACCTACGCCAGTAGCGCTTTTCTGCCGCTTATGTACATTTTCTACGGAACTACTTCAAATATTTTAAAAAGTAATCAGTGTTTTAGAAAGAGAAATGTATTCTCCATATGTTTTACATCAGCACGTTTTGCATTATTGTTGATCGTTTAATTACAAACGACGCTTGAGTTTCAACTTGAAAATTTTTGTAAACAAAATGGACTTTACCGATTTTTTTAATGCCTAAGCAAATTAGTTTTTAATATTTTTTCATATTTTATTATTCTATGACTACCCAGCTTTAATAAAAGACCAACTATAATGAAATTAAGCCAAATGCTGATTCTCAGTAACAAAAAAACTAACTAAAGTCAAAGTCGTCAATCCGCCATGTTTGGACGCCATTTTGGGGCAGTTCGTTCACTTTTTTTTGTGGGAACATTGGCTTTTTTTTAATAAATTGTCACAAGGAACACAACGATATGCAATTTATAGGGATGTGGGGGGGGGGTGCACGGTAAGGGGGTCTGGCCCACAGACTATTATATACCTTGCAGGCGACTGAACTTTGAGTCTTTGGATGGCGTTCGTTTACTATCGTTCACTTTACGGAACCATTCTTAAACCTGCTTCGCTGAGAACGAAGAACTATTCAAGAAGGCATCAAACCACTCTTTTGACTTTGTGGAACGGCTCCGCCATTTCCGCGCTTATCTCTGGGCTTTTATCTGGCTAGCAGAACTTAGTTGGCATTGGTTGTTCTGTTATCTTGACCAGTCTTATCACTTAAACATGACAACGATAGCCGAGAGTCAAGTATATAAATATATTTTCTTAATATTCGATATAAGGGTTAAAACTCTAAATATTATTAGTTGGGTATTTAAAGACATAGTTTGTCTCATGTGAAATAAAATAATTTTTCGTTTTACTTGAGATTACTCATTATATTTTTTTAAAACATTGGAATTTTATTTTTACCCACTAGATGGAATGCATTGTCAAATTATTTTATTACTGTTTTGATAAAAAAAAAAAAAAAAAAAGAAGGGATTTATAGTAAGTATTTAGTCTTGAAGATGTTTGAATTAAAGAATTCACACTATCATTTTGGCTTGAGAAAATTTAGCCCTTTTAATTTGAAACCTTCATCTCACAAAATAATCCTGTCTTAACTGAAGAAAAAAAATAAAAATTTGAAAACATTCACAAATAATTGCTAATTAAATTTGTAGCATATGATGAATACTTGACCAATAGTAAGAAGTTTAATATTAAACCTATAGAATACTGATGGCTAGATAAATTTTTATTCTAGTCCAGCAATGTCGGTATAAAAGAAGTAAAAGAGATGAATTAATATTAAAAGCACGATATGTTTAAAGTAATGCTTCTTGGTCATGTGTAAATGCTAATGTTATTTACAATCAGATCATAATTGAACATCACATTTATATTGTCAAATCATCAGTACCTATTTCATATTATAACCAAAAGACTCTAGATATCTTATCATATTTATTCTATTACAGATTTCAAACACTGTTCATAACAAAGAAGAGATTATACTTAAAAATTTAACTTTTTTATTTGAAACTATATTTGTTTTTCTTATTCACTTCTGGAATAAAAACTTCTTAATTTGTTTTACCTCTATCTGAAAAATCTATAATTTCATGTATTTATTTATGTCTTAATTTTATCAGATGGGCATTCCTACTGTGGAGTCTGAAGATTTCTACAAGGATTTGGACCCCATCCTGGATGAAATTAATAGAAAATGTGTAAAAATGGATGAAGATATAAAAAAAAAATATGTGGACATAATAAATAAGGTATAATAAATAAATGTATTTATATTAGTAAAATACATTCTTATGTATATGAAAACAATAGTTGCTAAAAGTAGGCAACAAGACATAAAATTTACAAGTTAATGCGGTGTTGGGAAAAATCGACTAATTTCATACTTCAAATACTAAGCAGTTGATTTTTCAATATGTGAAAGAAACAATATGTTTATAATGCAATAGTAACCATTCCAACTGCCGAATATTTGATAAGATTGTGTTTGTATTATCTATCCCATTGATATATCTATTGAATTATTTTTCCAATAAAAATTACTTCTAACTTATTAAATAATTTATTATTCTTTTCTGCACTTACAGTTATTGCGTGTTACTGAACATTTGTCCAATGCAAGGAAAAATAAATTTTATAATGTTACAAATCTAGAGACCAAAAGAATTCTAATTCGTAGGAGTTCAGGATTTTTTTACCATTGATAGTCTAGATATTGTGTATTCTACTTCATTGGCACGGAGCACCTTATAAATCACAGGAATGTCTGTGTACATTATGATATGTTATCCTGATTTATATTACAGCTAACACTAAATTTTAAAACCCAATTCTATTTATTTTTCAAACAACTTGACTTATACTTTCATGTAAGTATCAGCTCAATTGTTACGAAAAAATGGCCAACGTATATGCAACAAAGAATGCATTTTAACAAAGAATGCATTTATTTGGAAATAATTGAGAAAAAAAGTCCACAAATTATCATTACAAAAATTTGTAATCCTCTTGTGCAGACGATTCTGATATTGAAAAGTCTGGTGCGGGCAAAAAACACACAACTTTCACTTACCACTTTATTTAGAATAGAAATTATTTTCTGGCCAATGCTGGGCTATTATAAAATGTTTGAAGTGCATTTTAAACGGAGCTAAAGCTTAAAGCTTACAGATAACAAATGATTACGACCATTATAATTACAAAAAGTCTATTTATAATATCGACGGTAGACAATAAAAATCTAATCACTCCATCTACTTATATAAACCAAACAACTTCAGGCTCTGAGCCTTACAGTTGACAGAATGACTAACTCCAATTTCAATATTTTTCAGTAATGTAATTTTAGTGATATTTATAGTTGAAAAAGTTATCTATACAGACAGTGAGTAAGTTGATTCCGGAGTACGTAATTGCAGTATTGAAATATAGAAATGTGAGTTAAGGTATAAATTTTGCCATTAGAAACATCACTAAAATTAATAATAAAGAATATTAAAATTGGAGTTAGTCATTCTGTCAACAGAAGGCACATATATGCCTACAGAGGTTTAAAAGTATACCTGAATATTTAACCTATAAATGAATATGGATCGTAGGACTATTAATTATTGATTTGTTATTTTCCATTGTAAAGTTTACTAAAACAAAATTACAAGATTTTCATTGCCTTGCCATGGATAGGTCAAAAGTTGTCACACTAATTGTAAGTGGATAATGTTGGGAAAATTCACAAACGGAAAATTCTTCAAATTATTCACTAATTCTAAAAAGTTACTTGATGATTTCCAACTATATCTGTCCTTCCCGCCAACCGACCTATTATCAGCTACAGAAAAACTTCAAGAAGACATGGAAAGGATTTATGACTGAGCAAGAGCTAACAAGTTGAAGTTGAATGCAGAAAAGACGAAGCCAATCTTAATAGGCTCCAATCAACTCCTTAAAACTGTTCCTAATATTCCAAATCTGTTCCTACATGATAATACAATCAAATTTTATCCCTCCATCAAAAACCTTGGAATGATCTTTGATCAAACGCTTTCCTGAAAAAATTATATATCCAACATTCGTACCATTTCCACTTTAAAACGTCTAAATTACTCCGGTCACCTATTTCCCTTTGAAACCCGTAGACTCCTAGTAACTTCCTTAATTTTTCCCCACTTTGACTATTGCTGTACGGTATATGGGGGCATCTCTGGGGATCTCGAGGCGAAATAAAACGTTTGATAAATTGTTTTGTACGCTTCATCTTCGGGATCCCAAGAGACGCCTCTGTTTCCCATTTTTATGCAGAGTTGAAGTGGCTTTATCCTTCCTACTGTCGCAAATATTTCCTGCCATCCTTCCTCTTACAAGTCATCCAATCCCATCGTCCTTCATACATCTCCTAGCTCCTTCAATTCAAATCCTCTGTTCGCTCCCACAATACTCGTTCTAGGTCTTCTGATTTATACATAAGGTCCCACCGAACCGCTGCTTTCGACAGATCATTCATTATCCGATCATCCCTATGGAACTCCATCTCTCCCCACATCCATCAATCCAAAACTCTTCCTACCTTTAAATCCCGCCTGTTCAATCATTTCTTATCCATCCAGTCCCCATAAAATTATAAAAAGTTACTACTGTAAATATGTATATAAATTATTAGATCATTCTTCATTATTTTTATTTCATGTTTATTTTCAATTTTTTATTATTAACTGATCTAAATTAGCAAGAAACTTATATATTTTTATATTATTTTTTTTATTTTAACTATTTAATTACTCTATATGTTTGTTTATGTATCTCTAAGGCTCGTTAGTCCACATTTTTGTCTTTCTGTATTATTCTAAAGGGGCTCGTCCCAGAATAAATAAAGCATTATTGTTATTATTTTAAACAATGGCGTTGGCTTGATTTGTTGGATTTTAAATACCTTTTTTCAATCTTAGAAAAACATTGAAAAGTTTACATATAGTAAGAATATTTCATTTAATTTCCTTAGAAACATGTGATTTACGTTAAATAATTTTAGTTTGCTGACATTATTATTTATAATGTTTTCACCACTCTCCTTTACCTTCTACAACTTTCTATATAAGATATTATTTTTTCTAAAATTCTTTGCTTTCCAACGGTATATTATATGTATACCTTCTGACTGCTATATCCGAAGACTTATTTTCGACCTTGATAAGCATTTTTATTTTTTTATCTTTTATTCAATTTTTTCTAAAATTCTTTGCTTTCCAACGGTATATTATACGTACACCTTCTGACTGGTATATCCGGAGACTTATTTTCGACCTGGATAAGCATTTTTATTTTTTTATCTTTTATTCAATTATCAAATTCTTTCAAAAGTTATATTTAGCATTTTTTTTGTAACTCTGAATAACTTGATATGATTACTTTTTTTAAATAAACCATATTAAAGGTATATAAGTAAGAATAATTTTTTTCCAGTGATTTATTCTCCCATTTTTTCCACTCAATTACATCATAACGTTTCGGGGTCCACTTATATCCCAACTTCAGACTAGAAATTACAACATATCGCTATTAACAATTATATATGAAACAATAAAGCTTTTATCAATACAACTAATAACAACAATAATTTAATTTTTATTTTATTTTGCCAATCTTACCAGTATCCCGCATCATCTTAATTCTCCATAAGACTTGTCATGTTAATTAAATTGTTTTATTTTTGTCCTATTGCTAAAAATGTAGTAGTTCTAAATTTATTATTTATTTAATTATTACTGTTATTATATGTATTTTACTATTTTCAATGTTGAATATATTACCTGGAAATCTTATTTAAGTCTCCTCTAGGGAGAGTCTAGTCAGACACTGAAAATTAAACTTTAAGTAAGGGGTCAAACTCCAATTCTTATATTTATTATTATACATCTAATTTGTTTATAAGATAAGCATAGTGACTCCCTATTTTGGCCGCATCGGTTTTAAAATTAATAGCTGTTTTATTATGTTTAATGATGAATATTGACTCTATTATTTTTCTCTGTATGCTGTGTGTTTCTTTATATAAAATTTGCGGTTTTAGTAAGTTGAAATTATGTCTATTAGTAATACTATGATGGGCTAAGGCTGTTTTTTACTATTTTTTGTATCATTGAGATGCTGATTCATCCTTTTTTCCATATTTTGTCTTGTTTCACCAATGTATGTCGCTTCACAATTATTACAGTCCACCTTGTATACTACGTCTTTTTGTTTCAATTTATTTACCATATCCTTCATTGGACTTAGATATTTATTTATTTTGTTTTGATCATATAAATCGGTGTTTATCTCGCAATTATTTTCATTAAATTTTTTTTTTTTTTTTGTTAAAGAAGGGATGTAATTTAACTTATAATATTTTTTTATTATTTTTTGTTTTCCAGACTCATTTATTTGTTTGTTATGATTATCTTTTATTTCATAGCTTTTTTCTGTAACTATATTATCATTAGATGTAAAAAAATCTTTTATGGATTTTTGATTAACTTTCATTTTATTTTGCATTTTTTTATTATTGGTTGATGGTTGTAAGTTTTGGTTATTTTCAATTTTATCAAAAGATGTTTTTGTATTATCTCTTTGATTATTAATTTGGAACCACATTTTTTTAATAATTGATTTAGGGAACATTATTGAGTGAAATTTAAAAATTTGGATAATTTATTAGTAGTTCCTGATATATTATTTAAAATAAGTCTTAAATTTTTATTTTCTTCATGTAATTTAATAATACCATGTATGTGGGAAGCTATATAATTATTTGGTGTTATTTGATTTTTTATTATTTTTGTTATGTATCCTTTTATATATATTGTATCTACATATTCTTTAATTTCATTAGCTAATTTAGGTAATGGGTCCATTCTTAATTTTCGGTAGGTATTATTATCATTTAGTAAGTCTCTTATAAAATTTGTATGATTATCGGTAATAGTTTCACTAGTAAGTATATTTTCAATATCAGCTATTAATTTTATTAATTCTTTACTTTTAGCTATTTTATTATATTCAAAATTCATGCAGAAATTTTCATCGAGTGATAACAAGGTGATTATTTTTTTGGGTATTTCCATTTTAGTCAGGTTAATTACTCTATTTTTAGTATGAAGTGAGTTGTATTCTTCTATAGTTTTTTTTCCATTGAATTTATCAAGTCATCTTTTCCACTTTTTATATTAGGAGTTTTTAAATTGCAAGCTTTTATAGAGGTTATGCTATGATCTATGAATCTATTTTGTATTAGTTTAGGTATTTTCAATTTATTCATCTGGAAATCCAGTATTCTATTTAGTTTATTATCTAAATTTGGGTAATATATATTTTTATTTAAGTTTATCGATTAAAAACTCTAATTTTTTAGTCACTGGATCACTGAAAAAAATTAATCTTACCTATATACCTAGAAAATAAATATCTCCCTTAGGATAAATGAAGAAAACATATTAAAGGATCTTTAGAGGAAGACGCATATGAACATTTGGCATTTAAGCCCTGTAAAGTGACATCGATGGGGATAAGACCTGATTGATATTAAAGACCCCTTCATTATACAATGATACACCGATTTTAATCAAAATTGTTAGAGCCATTTTTGAGAAAATTGTAAAAATGTGTTTCACCATTGATATAAAGTGGCACTTTCAGTTAGCCGATTTTAAGGAAAAAGTTGTTGTCACATCTAAGGCATATACCTATCTTAAATACGTAATATCAATTTCGTATGACTGTTCATTTTTCAGCTAGACTGCTAACATGCAAACACACAGACCGTTTTTCGGGACTTGGTTATTTGGACTCAGGATACCCCAAAACGTGTATTTCCGTTAAAAACTCAGATTCAAAAATTTTCACGTTACATATTCATATTATATATATATATATATATATATATATATATATATATATATATGTAAGTGAAAGTAAAAAACTTAGTACCCATGTTCCTAATTGGCCATCTAAAAATACAGGAGTAAATTATCCATTTCTTCTTAAGAGTATGAAAGGAAGTGTCATCAGACTTTCAAACACTTGGTCAATGATATTGATAAATTGGTTCTTTCCCAAAGAAAGAAGGACCGATTTTTCAACGTGCACTATGTTACTCAAAGTTACATTAGTCTTTCAAAAATACTGATGAATTGCTGTCCTCGCCCTGAAGAACATGGGTTTGATTAACTTTGAAATAATTTTTCATAGTTCAATAAGACAGAATTATAACCGATTCCGTTAACATTGACTAAGCTTTTCCTGATGACACTTTCTTCCATACCCCTAAGAAGAAATGGCTCTGTATTTTTAGGTGGTCAATCAGAAACTTGTTTCTTCAATATCAGACTCATCTGCACATCAGGATCATAAATGTTACACATTTTTATGAATACATTTTGTGAGATTTTTTTCTCAATTATCTCCTAATAAATGTATTCTTTGTAAAATACATGTCTGCTCTTCTTGGTCATAACTGAGCTGATACTTTGATAACGGTCTAAGCCCATTTGTGTCAAAAATAAAAAAATTGGGTTTTGAAAAATTAATATTAGCTCCAATATAAATTGGGATAATATATCGTAACCCATGTGGACTTTTCTGGAAAATATTTCCAACTAAATGCCAACAAATAGTACTGCCTGAAGTTGATGCCAAAAAGTGTTTCCGTACAATTTATCAAAGTTTAAAATAAAATGCTCGTTATCTTACATTCATCTCAATCTGCTTCTCAATTTTATGATCTAAAATCACTCAGTTGGAGAAATATTCCCCTGAGCTGTATTCTAGATCAAGAAAAGTTTCACGGAACAGTTCAGTCCAACAATGGAAAGGATTCTGTAGATGATGTTGGTACCTTGAAAGGAGTGTAACATGTCTGTATGGCTTATACTATGTTCCTATCAACATTTGAATTTCAACTTAAAAAGTGATATTGATCTTACCAATATGGTTTATGCTCTTATTATTTGGTAAAAAAAAAATATGGCCTAATTTTTTCCAAAGACATCTATGTTTTGAAAACTCGGATCTGAAAATTGTCCTTTTTACTTTCCTACCTTTACTAGGTAAAGAAAGTATTGCAATCAGGTCAAATTTCCGATATGCGGTTTTCGATGGATCTGTAAGTTACAGAGCCCCCTGAGTCCGAAAAACACATTTTTAGCCATTGGTCTGTCTCTCTGTCGCCGTTTAGCCTGTCATTTGAAAGGTAATGAAATTCCCTACAAAGCCATATAAAAATTGTTCATTTTGGACAACTATTAACGAAGTTACAGCTATTCAATTTCCAATGTAAGATTACGGTTTCATATCCTGGTGTCAGAAAGGAGGGAATGAGAGAATAAAGATGACTAAGTGAAAGTAAGAAAATCTGTTGCCCGCATCACACAAGCTTCACTATTTCCTCTACTTTTAACAGAAATTATTGTTTGACAATACTAAGCTATGGCAAAAAGTTTTTGATCAGCAATATTAGAGAGTATTGAAATGTTCACACTGATCTACCTTAAGCCGGTTTACATTGCTTTAGTTTATCAAATAAATCGTACTCTAATCTATTCTTTGATCAATTTTCAGGAAAATAAATATAGTTCAATTTTGTTTTGTTTCTTCATGAACATATGTAAATATATAAAAACTTTCCTGAAATAAGTAGGAAAGTCGTGTGAGTGGACACACCAGATATTTTTGAAAACAATCCATATAAGTTATTGACTAATTTAGTATTTACTGTCTGAAGTTCTTGTATTATATTTATTTGTTTATTTAGGTGATTGAATCAGTAATCAAAGCATTAAAATCAACAGATGAAGTTTTTGAAAAACTTTTTTCTAAATTAGAATATGTTGGCTCATATTTTGATGGACTTCGAGTTGCAAAACCTACAGAATTTGACTTAAATTTAATTATGAAATTACCTTGTGACTACAAAAAAATTGTGGTAAGTCAAATTTTATTATATACAATGTGACAGATGATAATTTTAAAAAAATAGAGCGGCTTTTTATGATTGAGATAATATAATTTAGGGTTGCCACCATTTAATTATTGAGTCATTATATGAAAATTTAAAGGTACACAAACACAATATATCCTTTTTTTCAGATTGAAAATAACAATGTTTCAGCAGGCTTTGTTAAACTCAACATCCTTAAAGCTATTCAAAACAACCAACAATCTGAAAAAGTTATTGGGTATGTTTTTTTAGATCTCTCTTTCTCCACTTCCCCTCAAATAAACATATCATAGTCATGTATAAGAAGCTCATATTGATTGGTCAGTTTGATATTTTGTCATGGATAGATTTTATATTTATGAATTATATTTGTTTGAGCATTAATTATTTTATTTTTTTTTCTCATAATTATACCTCAATCTTTAATTAAATGAAATATAAATTAATTGTTTAGTTTTATGTTGACTGATCCTTGATGAAAAAATTATCATTAAGCATGGTCAGGCCTAAGCAGGACCATTAAGCAGGAGAATGGCGTATAACAACGATGTATTAGATGAAACATGTGATTGTTAGTCCTTGTCCAATTCAATCAGAAATTTCACTGCATACTTGCTCGGAGAGATCTATAATTATTGATTTTTGTCAGATGTGTTATTGGTACTGGAAGTATTGAAAGGTTCATAATATAGTTATAGCTTGATTCCCCAATTCCATTTCATAAAAACTACTGAATGTAGAAACAAGTTATATGAAAATGAAATAAAGAAAATACTTATATTTTTTATTCTTTTGTAATATACATAATAGATTTTAGATAATGCTTTGCATGAAATAAAAAGTGTCACATGAGCATAGGTTGCAATGGTTTTCAAAATTTGTATTACACTATAGGCAACTGTACTCATTAGTTTCATTGTAATTACTTAATTTGTAACTCAGGCATTGTTTTTTTTTTATATGGTAATGTACCGGAAAATACGGAAACATTCTGAAGGAAAAAAGAGGGAAATGTTCTGGAATTTCTGTGCTCACTGCTGTCTTTGGTATTTCTTGTATTACAATGGTAATATGTGACATCTCAGCACTATATTCAATTTGAGTAGTTTTTTCATTCCCCTAGTTGAGTGGTGAAGTTCATATTAGGTACTGTATATTGGTCAGGAATTGTCTTTCCACTTGTCCTTGCTGCTGACAGAGTTCTCTGTAGTTTTAATGATGTGTTTAGCCATGCTTCATGTTCTCTGATATCTATTGGTTAGTTCATCTGAAGGTCAGCAAATATTTGGGAATGGCTAAAGGATAAGCACACAGCATCTGTCACCTGGTACAACAGGAATGGAAGATGTGGCCATGGAGTTCTCCATCTATTATTTATATTATTGGTGTTTTAATGTCTGCAATCATAGATGTCCAGTTATATGGTTGACTTATGACATAAATCAACGTGTTTCTAGATTTCATAAGTCTTAATAGGGATTTTATTCGCTGCAACACAAAAGTCGATAATTGCCTTCAGATTCCTTCACACCAGATATCTCTTCATCGAAACACATATTGCCATTACAACTTGAGTTTTTAGATGACGCAAGCCTTATCCCAGTCAGAGGGTCAACACCTTGGCCCACTCACACTAAACTCTTTGCTAAGGGAAACCAGTTCTAAAAACTTGTTGAATTCAAAAATAGGAATGTAAGAAGGATCAGTAAATTACAGCTCCAAAATAATCTTCAAATGTGATAAAAAAAAAAATATCATATATAAAATAAAATGCACTCAATGTTCAAATTTGTAATAAATAAAAGAAATATGTTTTAGTTATAGTCCTCTCTACATTTTTTTGTTTCTCAAATTATTCGTTAAATAATTATCATTGTCAATACGAATTTTTATGTAATAATGTTTTTTTTTTTTTACTTTATAGAACTGTTAAAAAATGGTGTGATGTTGATGGATATCTTCTTGAGAACAGAGTTCGTCAATGGATGGAAAGTGTTATAACCTGTTGTTTAGGTCATGCGACTACAACACTAAGTCTTGCTTCTGGAGAAACTGTAAGTTAAAAAATACATGTCATCTATAACTAACAAATTGTTTGTTCTCTCTTGGTTGCCTTTATGCTTAAGAATATTTAATTTTTAGTCTCTTGCTTTTCAAAACACCTTATATTGAATGAAAGCCCCTTTCATAAAAATCACCTTTCTATTTTTTGTATTTTTTTTTTAAATTAATTTCATTATGTATTTCCACTTTATATGAATGAATGAGCAAAATAAAGTCAATAGTGAAAGCTCTGTTGATATGCCCACTTATGTAGTTGTGAATTGAATTAAAATAATAACACAAGTGGGGCAAACTAAATTTAACATGGTACGATCAAATGTACCATCTTCACCACCCAGTATGCCCGGTACTGTCTGACATTCTCAATAATGCTTATGTTTTTGATGAGACCAACACAGCTGCTCACCATGGGAGCCATATCATCAAATTTGAGGGTACTATCATGGTAAAGCTGTATTGGGCTGCCAGAAGCTGAATGGCCTTATTGTTACCTGGATAGGTGTTGAATACAAACAAAATTTAATCTTCTGCCATGTATGTTTTCAAATCTGGAAATATCAATATTTTATGAAAGTAGTTTAGATTTTGGCTGAATGAAAATATGGTTTTTATTAATGAATTAACATTTTTATTGTTCCAATTAATTACTGAAATACTTAAAGTATTATATTTAATTTTGTTACTTTAAAAATAAAAGAGAAAATTTATCACTGATCTGCTATTTCTAGGTAAACATCAGAGTCAGAAAAGCTGGACCAGCATTTACACTAAATGTAAACACAGGAAGTGATAATATAGACGTTGACTTAGTTTTCACTATTCAATTTCCTGAATCGATACATCCTCCTAGTTCTATTAGATGGAATAAAGATTTGGTAATTGTTAATATTCATTTTAAGCAATCTTAGGGTTTATAAAATCACTTTTAAGTAAGGAAGAAACGCACTGACATCTCTAGCAATTGCAGAATTGTGTTCTAGGGATTCCAAAACGGATAGAAACTGCAACCTCGCCTCTTCCACTGACCACTTTTGATACAGTGCTTATTATTTCCAAAGCAAAATAAACAATGAACTCCAATCTGCATGTTTATAAATTATCTGTACTATTTATTTCATTTTATTTTTAGGTAACTACTCTTTTATATAATTGTTGATTGGTTCACAGTGAACAAAACTCTGTTTATTTGGTATTTAATTATTACAGAGGTTCTTAAACTTAGATCTGAGAACCCTTTCTTGAATAAAATGTTTTTTCCAGGTTGTCCTGAGTGACCACAGATCTCAGATAAGCAAACACCGAAATCTTCTCAAATTTATGAAGCTCAATAGTAACTGCCCCACCAGACTTGAGTATTTCTCCTGTTACCATATATTTTGTTTTGGACCCCTCTGGTAAAAGTCTAGAGTACCCGCTACCGCCAGATAATCATCAGTCACAGCCTGCAGGGAGTGTCCCACAATGTCTACATCATCAGCATAAGCAAACTGTTGGACAAGCCTGATAAATATATTTCCTTGTAGTTTGTGTAAACTAGCATCTCTTATGGCCTCAAGAGCTAGGTTAAAGACCGTACAGGCTACGCCATCCCCTCTCCTGATTACTTTACCTGCACAAAATTCCTCAAATTTGTTGCCATTTATTGTAACCATATATCTCATATCCTTCATGGTGAGCTTTGTCAAGCTTATAAAGTTTCTCAGGTATGTTGAATTCTTTGAGGGCACTGTACAGCTCTTCACATATGCTGCTTTAATATTTATGAAAAGATGGTGAGTTTTGGTTTCCTATTCATGAGCTATGTCAAGAATAGTTTACTCACAGAATATCTGGTCATCCTTTCCTAAATCCTCTCTGATATTGACTGAGTTCATGCTCAGCGTATGGCATAGTATTTTATAGGTACAGAGCAGTAGCAAGATACCTCGATAATTCCTGCAAAGAAACCCATCACCCTTTTTATTTATAGAACATACAATTGACCTTTTTTTTTTCTCATTTTCCTCACAATTAAGGCTATATGGAGTTTTCCTGAACCAGGGAAGAGGGCTGAGAATTAATGCCAGATTTAAAAGCTGTGCGGCAATGAGTTTCGAACTCATCTTCTGTTAATCTGGTTGCTGGACAATGCGTATTTTGTACATGCATTAGCACGCTTGGTGATTAATAATTCTGCACAAGTATATCAAGAGTTATTACCCTTGCTTTGTTTATGTATAATTAATAGAGTATCTGTATACATTTAATGATTGATTATATTATATTTGAGTAAATTTTATGTTTCAGGCTGCTAGCTGGGTGGTAGTACCAAAACCAACTAATGATCCTCGGTTTTGGAGAGTTTCATTTAATTATTCAGAGAGAAAACTCACTCAGAACCAGTATAAACTTAAATTAATCAACCGATTTTTGAAGGTATGCTTTCTTCAATAATCCTATGATAAACTGCATCAGAAGTTAAGTATAAGAGGTGGGTGATCTTGAGGAAGATCTTTCCCTCCCCTAGATTGGGGATCTTTTTCCCCTATGCTACACTGCTTAAGAAGAATGCAGTATCTTACTAACAAAAATAGTCACAAGTTACTGCATTTTTAATAATTATATCTTTTGCTAGAACTAAATATAACAAATTTTTTTTTTTTCTTTTCTTCCCTATCTCGCCTTTTAGGCTATACTGGATTTTCTTGGGGCGGAGGGTGAGGGTGGGGAATTTAAAATCTCTTCCGGCATCGGGACGTGAACTTGTACTTTTTTTTTACTCTCTCAAATCTGTTATCTGGTTGTCGGCCCATTCGGTTATCTGCTGTACATGCGTTAGCCCATTCGGCCACCCTGCCTTCAACTTGTGATTATAATCAGATCTAACAAATTATGGTTACTAACATAACTTAAAAAACATTGCCTCAAACAGACTAATAAAACCCATGAAATATAAAATTTCCCATTACTTTTTTAACAAAATTATGTTTCTCAAGGTTGCCTGTCTCTTATTTTGTCTTATGTAATTGTTGTTTTCCATTTTAAAATTCTACTTATATAAATGTTTGATATTATAATTAATGTATACATACATGTTACTATTAATCCAGAGTTACTACTAAAAATTGGTTGTGATAATATTTCCATAGACAGTGTGTTCACTCTACATTTCTCATATCTTCTGCTTCCTTTCCCATCAATTTCATATTAACTCTCCTTGCAGTTAATCTTCAGTTCTTTTCCCTGCACGATCTAATCTGTGATTAAGAGCTCACAATGATGGCAGGCCTTGAAATAGATCATATCAATTATACATATGCGTAGTTTCATATCAAAGACTGACATCTGTCATTTTCAGAAAGTGGAGAAAAAGTCAATTTTTGTCAACAAAGTCAACTGTTCCTGATGATTTTATTTAGTGGGGACGGTTCTTGACTTGAGCCTTTGGTTCTTGTCGTCCCTCATTGACTGCAGATGTGCAAGCAACCTCCTGCACCATTGGCAGTTGATGAAAATCCGTATCCATCGTAATGATTGCAGAGCCTCAAAACCAATTGTGCTCTGAGGTCAGATAAGAATTTTATCTGATCGAATTGGTGATACGGGGCATCGCCGGAACCCTGGCGGCGTGTTGGTTGGACAGCAAGAGTGCTTGCACTCCTTGGCCCTGGCAGTCGTAGTGATCTTGTGTTTGCTACTGCTCGCTGTACGACACCAGTGTTCAGTTGGTCATGACAGAGTTCCGGCCAGTCATCTGGTTTCAGTGTATTGATGAGTGGTGGAAAGCTCTGATAGTAGGGCTTGGCCCTTTCCATGAGAACCGGTGGTGTGCTTGCATCTTAAGACCTGTCCGGGGTGTGAGACTAGGTTGGGGTAGATTTTAAGGCCTTCGGGTTAGGTACAACTTCAGCTGGTGCCCGTGCCTCTTAGTATAAGTATATGCTCGCTGTTGATTTTATTTAAGAATGTTCAAGTTGAGTAATGAAAAAAAATCATTATAATTAGTCTAAATTGAAGCTATATTACAAAAATTGGCTTTTTCTCAACTTATTAAAAATTCTGGTGCTCGCAATACACAACTTTCACTTACCACTCAACTTTGAATAGAAATTATTTTTTGACCTTGTTGGGCTATTATAAAATTTTTGAATTGCATTTTTAATTGAGTTAAAGCTAACTAAATCATAAACTAACAAATCATAAACACCATTGAAATAACAAAAGTTTTATTTATTATATGATCGGTTGATTATGGATTATTATGACTATTAGTTATTAAACTGTTATTTTCCATTGCAAAATTTACTAATACGGAATTAGCAGATTTACATTGTCTGTCATAGACAAGTCAAAAGTTGTCACACTAATTGTAAGTGGATACTGTTGGAATATCACAAAAGGAAATTTCATCAAACTATTCACTAATTTAATTTTCTAAAAGATTACATGATGATTTTTTGGAATAAACGGATGATAGATACCTAAATATTTAAATACAATATCAGATCTAGAGTTATTAAATTACAGTAAATATATTTAAGGTTATAAATGTATCTATGAAATATTTTTATATTTCACCTGTTCTTCCACACAATTACAATGAAATAGTAGTGGGTACTGTTGGAATATAACTAAGAGAAGATTCATCAAATTATTCACTAATTTAATTTTCTAAAACGTTCCATGACAATATGAATAAACGGAAGCTGATACCTAATTATTTAAATATAATATCAGATCTAGAATTATTAAACTACAGTAAATGTATTTAAGGTTATAAACATATGCTTTATACATCCATGAAATCATTTTATATTTTACTTCTTCTTTCACACAAGTACAATGAAATAGTTTTTTAAACGATATTAAAGACCGCTTAATTATACAATGATACACCAAGTTTAATCAAACTCGTTAGAGCCATTTTTGAGAAAATTGTAAAAATGTGTTTCACCATTGATATAAAGTGGCACTTCCGGTTAGCCGATTTTTAGGAAAAAGTTGCTGTCACATCTAAGGGATATACCTATCTTAAATACGTAATATCATTTTCATACGACTTTTCATTTTTCAGCTAGACTGCTAACATGCAAACACACAGACCATTTTTCCTGATTTGGTTATTTGAACTCAGAATGCCCCAAAACGTGTATTTCCGTTAAAAACTCAGATTCAAAAATTTTCACAATCGTAATATTTACCCTTACTATATATTACATATATATACGTAAGTAAAAGTAAAATGACAGTCAGTCTTTGATATAAAGGCACACATATAAATGTATCATGTATCTTCCCCTCCATTCTTACTTGCACCCTATCATGTTTTTATGCTGTTGTTCTTATCTTTTTGTTTTGTTCTTTTTACAAAAAGACATTTGAAATTGTTCTTATGACTTTTTCAAGGCAAAATTTAGACATGTTTTGGGAAGCTTGTCTTGAATATCTTCTGTTTTTTTGCATCAGCGCTGCATTTGCCATTACAAATCCTGATCTACATTTTCCAGGCTTATTGATGTCATAGGAACTATAAAGATTTGTCGATGCTGTTGAACAAAATGATTTTTTAGGATGGTTGATGAACAGATTCTGTTTGATGAAATAACTCTTTGATCAGCTGACAGATAATAGGCAAAGAAGACTATCAAAACTTTGATGGTGTAGGAACTTATGCAGCATCTTTTAAGTAAATACTAACATCAAAGAGGTTACTATAAATTTGTATGTATCATTATTATCTATAAATATAACAAATGACTTCAAAATATTATTTATGTGGTTTATGTTTATGTGGTTATTTTATATGAATTATGTGGTTTATTTTTTATGAATTTTATTTTTAAATGTGAAACTAATTATTACAACGTAATTATCCATTTTGCTTCCTTGAGCCATTCAACATAGCAGTCATAGTTCTGAATTTTTAAAGTAGCCTACTTGAGAAACAAAAAACTTTTGACTCTGACTGTTATTAACTTAATCTTCTTTTATATATATATGAAATGTATTTATGAAACAAATCAATTATCGATAATAACTTGAAAACTAAATTGTGTTTTCAAAGGATAATGTGTATTAATTAATTAATATAAGGAAAAATATGGTGGGGGAGAGAGAACCGGTGTGCTCACGGTCATGGAGTAGGAACTGGATGAGCCCTCCAGTGAAAGAGTTGAGGTTGTCAAACTTCCCTTTATCACTGAAATATAGCTGAATAAAAAGCCTCATAATGTATTACAATTGTGATTATAACACCGTATCTTGTAAAAACTTCATTATTTTTAGTTTAAATATGTTTTCAGGCACTTCGTGACGCTCGAGATTTGCCAATTCCCAGCTACTTTATTAAAACTCTATTTTTATGGGAAGCTCATAATTGTACTATGTATAACAAGCCTAGATTTTGGGAAAAAAGGCAGGGCTATTTATTTATTTATGTAAGTAGCAATAATTGATTATGTATCATTCATGAGTCTCTTTGTTATTACCTTAATGTTAACCTACTATTTTTATTTATTGTCATTTCTGGTAAATGTTAGGATTCTTGGCAGCTCATAAGCACATTCCTCTCTTTTAAGATATCCATCAGATTCTTCACAATTATGGTTTTATCCAGGATCTCTTTTTGCTAATTGGATACTTACTTGGGGAAAAAAATCATGTAAATTTGATCTGCAATAGAATGATTGCATAAATCAAGTGATGAAGAATGTATATAAGATCGAGATTGTACTTTTCAAATACTAAAAAATATTCATATTTAGCTAAAAACATGTCACAGTCAAGTCTTCACTCTCGCAACATAGCTCAGTCCCCACCACTTTACTTTAATTTTATTTATCTTTGTAATAATTTTTGGCGTTGCTATCTTTGATAGTGACGTGAGACCACTATTAACTTCCTCTGCTTGTTAAGCTTGCGCCCTTTAATACTGTTGGGGTCCATACTTATCCCTTGGACCAAACCTCAGCAGTTACTCTCTCGAGTGAGGGCAGCGTCGCGCTGACAAGCGGACCTCCTTTCTTCCTTCATTAGTGATGGCGAACCAAAATGAGAACCTTCCTATGGAGATTCCAGAGCCTGAGGCCTCCGAAGATAAAAGTGGGAAGAGGATTCACGAAACTGACAGCGAAGGCCTTGGATCGGATATTGAAGGCTACGCCCCAGTAGCCAAACGACACACGTTTCCCGCCCGTACCGTCCCGGAAAAGCCTTCCCAGATCCCAATTGCCAACAAGTTTTCCGTGTTGAGAGTGAATCTACCGGAGAAAAACAGACCGCCGCCAATCATCATAGCACCTCCGATAGCCCAGGCAGCGCTGAAAAATATACTGATCGAGAATAATATAACATTATTCTCTATCAATTCATCATCAAAAGAAACTCGGCTGTATGTCAACTCCGAGAATGACCACTTTCAAGCCACTTTACTGTTGCGCCAGGACAATAGGGTACAATTCCACAGTTTTGCTCCCAGAGGCACTAAGCGATCTCGAAAATATGTGCTTCACGGATTCGATATTGATTTCCCCGTCGAGGAGATAGTCGAGGAGTTAAAAACCAGATTACCAGGATTCAGACTCGCCCGAAGACTCACAAAGAGATACAACCCGAATGAACCACCAAAACCTATCGAGCTGATCCAGATAATCACAGACGACTCGGTCAAGCTGACAGACATTGCTAAACTTTATCATATATCGCAGTGTAAATTTCGTGTGAGCATCTTTAAAAAAGATGGGGTCCCAGCACAGTGCCGAAATTGTCAAGAATACGGACACACTATGAAATATTGTGGCCGAACATGTGCGTGCCCCTGGTGTGGAGGTGTCCATACCCTTGAACAGTGCCCGAAGACAGTAACTCCCTGGTGTAAAAACTGTAAAGGTGCCCACCCCACCTCCTCCAAAGAATGCTTGAAGAGACAGGAGTTGGTGAAGAAAATTAGGGAAATCACCAAAGGAACACCGACGAAAACGAATACCAGCAAACAGAGTAAGTGGGTCCAGGAGGGCCTGGCATACAGCACAGCAAGCGGAGGAGCGCCGGTCCAATCAGAAGGAACCTCTCCCCACCACCAGTCTCATCCCCACCACCAGTACGCCACCCAGTTCAAGGAACAGACTGCACCAACGCAATCGCCTCAGCCTTCAACAAGTACCGATGCCTCCCTGACGTCTCTAGTGATGACGATGCTGACAAGAATGGACAAGCTGATGGATATAGTTGCCCGCATGCTAGATGCTATGACGAAGAAGCATCATGATTAATCATCTCGTCATGAATTTCAACACCAGAGGCCTCTTCCAGAAGCAGGCTGAAATCGAGCTCCTTCTTCAGCAGCATAGACCTTCAGTGGTGGCGTTGACAGACACCATGCTTCACACCTCGACTCGTCCATACTTCCAGGGGTACACTATATACCGAGAGGTGTGTGCACCAGGGTCTCGAGAGGGAGTAGCCATCCTGGTCAGAAAAGATGTACCTTCGAGATCCGTCCCGAACCCAGTGGAACCAACCGAGGGAACTCACTTACTCACAGTTGACGTGCGCCTTAAGAGTCGGTTCCCCTTCACTTGTGTCTATAGGCGACCCAGGGCTGGGCTGGCCTCTGTTAAGCTGCTGCTACAACATGCCCAGGTGACGGGTCGGCATGTAGTCCTTGGGGACTTCAATGCTCGACACACTTCCTGGCTGTGTGGTAGCGACAATCCACTGGGGAAGTACATTACCAAGACTAGGTTGGCCGTCTTTCACCCAGGTGTACACACTTTCCGGCATTCAGCCCGACCTGATTGGACATCAACGCTGGACCTGCTATTAACCAGGGATCTGCACATCATTACGGATTGCCAAGCGCTTCCGTATGGACCGTCGGATCACCGGCCTGTGCTCTACACGATCGAGGGCACACCCGCCAAACCACCGGTGAGTAAATACTTACTCCACAAGGCCGACTGGAAAGGATACAGGTCTAGCGTTGAATCCACTTTACCGGCGGTAACGCCGTGCCAGACAGTAGAAGAGGTAAACGAGGCGGTGGATGTCATCACCACCACTATCCAGGATTCAGCCAACCTGAACATCCCTAGGTTCGCTCCGCAGCCCAACGCCATCAGGAGACCACCACGTCACATCCTCGCCCTGATCAGTCAGAGGAACAACCTGAGGAACATCTTTCAGCGCACGCGTGACTACAGCTTGAAACCGGCCATCAATGCGATGACCCGGCAGATAGCCAGCCTCATGCGAGACTGGAAGACCTCACTCTGGCATGACCAGCTCCGGAGGACTCATAATGACCACCGCCAGTTCTGGAGACTGGTCCGAACGTTCGTTAACAAGAAGAGGACTGTCCACCTGACGTCGGGGAATGAGCTGCTGACACCTAAGGAACAGGCTGAACTCCTGGCCAAAAGCTATGAAGCGAGGGATGCTGAGCGGACGAGAAATGCACCACCAATGCCGGAAGGACCACTGCCCAGTCCCAACGAAGAACCCGTCTTCTCTACCTTCAACCAGCTGGAGTCGACGCTACGACGCACCAAAGGAAACAAAGCGTCTGGACTGGATGAGATTCCGTACGTACTGTTGAAGATGCTCCCTAGGAAGGGTAAAGCCTTTCTACTGAACATATTCAACTCATGTCTTAGAATCTCATACTTTCCTACCGCATGGAAACAAGCGATCGTTGTACCGTTACTCAAGCCGGCGAAGAACGGGGACTCAGCTGAGCACTATCGTCCGATCAGCCTCCTCTCGCACATCAGCAAGATTTTCGAGAGGCTAATCCACCATCAGCTTATGAAGCACTGCTGGAAAGAGAGCATCATACCACCAGAGCAGACTGGTTTCCAGAGAGGGGTCGCGTGTGAACACCACCTAGCTAAACTTCAGGCCCACACAATAGATGAAATGAGTCTCAACAGAGCTACGGCGCTCATCTCTTTGGACTGCAGTCAGGCCTTTGACTGCGTGTCACACACGCATCTACTTCGCCGTCTGGAAGAGTTCAGGTTTCCTACCACTCTATGCCGACTGATCCGAAGCTACCTCAGCGGAAGATCTCTCGTCGTACGAGTTGGTACAGACTACTCAAACCCAGTCGATACCACCTGCGGAGTACCTCAAGGGTCTGTGTTGGGGCCAATACTGTTCGTCGTTTTCACGGCGCCAGTGGTGGCACTCAAGCATCCAAAGGCGGTGGTAGCAGCCTATGCGGACGACATTGGCATACATGCTTCCAGCATCAACGCGGAGACTGCACTCACTCTGGCACAGAATGCTTCAGCCACAATTGTTGAAGAGCTAGAAGAGATCGGTATCAGAGTGAATCCTGCGAAGACTGATGCTATTGTCATGTCGTTTCAGAAGGGAAAGAAGCATCTACCCACACAATTCACCGTTGGAGGAGTTTATCATAAAATTTCTACCTCGATTGTCTACCTCGGCGTCACGCTAGATAGACATTTGACCTTCTCCAATCACGTTAGGCAGAGGATCAAGCTGGCACGAAAGAAGTCGCACCGGCTCTACCACCTACTGACGTCGCCGCAGCTCTCGCTGAGACTCAAGCTCCAAATTTATAAAGCTGTTATAAGACCAACACTGCTCCACGGGGCCCCTCTCCTGCGATACCTATATAAATCCACGCTTACGAGTCTACAGGGCTTCCAGAACTCTATCCTTCGGCGAATTGTCCGTGGCACCACCCTACAAAGGGCTAAGAATCAAACAATACGCGAGGAGCTCCAGCTCCCCTCGGTACCTGAGTTCATAGGCCGGAGGCACATCAAATTTTTTGATGGGCTGAAGGCCTGTGCAAACCCACTGTTCAATGAGATCTCACCACCACCCAGACCTGGGAGGTGGCAAGGTAAACTCCCTTTGGTGGACATACTCGCCGAAGGATGTGGTCTGGTCTCTGCGGTCCAAACTCATTAATTTGTATATATTGTAAATAATAAAATATTAGCAGAACGGTCCTTCCCCGTTCAATGTCAAAGTCACAAGGCCTTCTGCCACATATGTAACCTTTAGCTATCCCCAATCCTTAAAATGCCCTCGGGCAGTGGAAGGAATTTATTACATGTTTATATTGTATTATTGTATACTATATATGTAATTGTTTCAATAAACTTTTTGGAGGGTAAGAAAAAAAAAAAAAAAAAAAAAAAAAAAAAAAAAATTGTAATAATGTATCAAAAAAATTCGAGACTGCATTTTTATTGGTATAACCTAATCTCCACCAATGAATACAAATAAAAAATTTATGCCAATACCTTATTGGATTTTTACTCTTTCCATTTAATTAATTGTTTCCTTAAATATCATTACTTGATCATCTATAACAGGAGTCTCTAAATTGTTTACCCTGCAAGCATTACCGCACATTGAGACCTATACTAAGTCCCATGGGCCGCATAAGTACCTCCACTAAGTACCGAGAGTCATGGCTTGTGATGAAAATATATAACTTATTCTATAAATGACTCTTAGTTGTGAAATTAGATTTCTACGAGAAACAACTAATGTAATAAATTATTTAGTAAACTTGTGTTTGAGTGATTTGCTAAATTTCACATTTTTTAAATTGTTTTTAAAATTTTTCCATGTAATCAAACAAACTTTTGCAGACCATAGTTTGGAGACTCATGATCAATATTATTCCCAACATCTGTTTTAATCAAATTTTTGTCAGTGAGTCTCAATAAACTGTCTTTGATTTAAGTTAAATGACCTTTTATGTTCACATTATATTTTCAATGTAAGTGGATTTCTTGCAGGTAACTTAAAATGTTTTTTTTTTTCTTCACTAATTAGTTCCTAAGGTTATCTTAGATAATGGAATAATCTTTAATATTTCCTTCTGTCTTCATGCAATTAACTCCTATATTCTATTTAATAATCAATTTTGACTTAAGTATCTCAGAGGCTCAAAAAGAGATGATTAGAAGTAGAGCCTAAAATATTGTCATTATTGTATTTAAATATGAGATTTTTAAACATTTTTTCATATTTTAAGTTCTTGACTACCTGGAGTTTTATATATAGAAAAGTGATATGTATATATATACTTTGTTTTGTTTTTTTTAGTCTTGTTGAATGGTCAGACTTTAACTTCGATTAAGACATTTTATATTTTAAAAAACCTGTACCACTACAACCCATGAAGGGTCTTGGATTCAGTACTATCTACGGAAAGTGCTGTTTCAAGGCCAATGGTTGTGCAGAGAAGGGATCGAGCCAGGATCACGCCCAACCGCCAGGTTTTTCCCCTTAATCAATTATTTAATTAAGTGTACCCACTTCGTAGAGGCTGGGTATGCCCCAGGAAGGTCTCCCTACCCCAGGGTCATCCCATGGCCAATGAAACAGAATAAATAACTTTTTCTGCCATGAGCCGGGCTTCGAACCTGGGACTTTGAGCGTTAGTAGCTTAGTGGCCTACCACTGAGCTAACCCTTAATTTATGGCATCCTAAATTGTTCAAACTATATTAATATTATTTATTATGCCTTTCACTTTTTTTTTTTTTCAAATTTGCTTGTTTATAAATTAAGTATAAATATGTGTACATGTATACCCATACTCAATCTTCAAATATGTTTCTGTTTTATCAGTAGATGCAAATTGTAATTTAAGGCAGTAAATTATTATTCATTCATCTGATTGATTACATTTTAAAATTATTTATGTGCCATTATTTTAAATTAGTAAATTTGTTTGGTTGTTTCTATAGTTATTAATTTTTTTCAATTTTACTTCCTCAAACTTTTAATTTTTTTTCTTACTTATTTTCGATTTTTGTTACAAATTTAAGATTTGAAAATAGGTTCAATCCATTTTTTTCACTGTTTTTATTTAGTTTTTCACAAGTTCCCAATATATTGGGCTGAGGAAAAAGTAATTTCATTTTGTTTTTCAAAGTGAATTTATTCAATAAATTTCAATGATATATGTGCCGTTTTTATCGATAATCTTCAGCTATTTTTCTGGTAAAACAATAAGTCCATCACTGCAGAAGTTTTTTGTTTTTTTTATTTCTGGGCAAAAAACTGAACCGTGATTTTTACAAACCTCTTTTCATGCCAGCTTTACACCAATAAAAGAGCTTTGCAAAGAATGAAACAAATCGTTGGTTTATTGCAAAAAGTCAATAAGTGACATTCATAACATCAAATAATTTAGAACTTCGATAACTTTTCTCTTTGTGAAATTAGAAAATTGTCTATTTAGTGTAACTATATATGATAAATAAAATGATGTCGCGTCATTTACAGTGTTTTTTTATCACTAAATAAGGTTAAAAATAACAAAGATATACCTGAAAGTTTAACTATATTAAAAATGCACTTAATGAATTTTTTCAATAAATCCACAAAATGATGAGGCAAGGTCTGGAGATTATACGTTGGATGCATCAAAACTTCTCAGCCAAGCTCTCTCAATCTTTGCCAGGTCATTAAAGATGTGTGTGGTCTAGCGTTGTCATAGTGAAAGATAACACGTTTACTTGAATCGCATGTATCATCGCACTAGTTGTTCACAGTATAGAGTTGAATTAATGGTTTGGACAGGTTTGAGCAACTAATGATGAACAATTCCTTTCCAATTCTACCAAACACTCAGCATCAACTTCCTTGGAGCCAATTCGAACTTTGCCACTGTTTGTGAAGCTCCTCTATGCTTTGATTACGATATTCTTCTCACGTTATTGTCATAAGCGATCCACTTTTCATCACCCGTTATTATTTTTTAAAAAAATTATTCAATTTCTTTCCATTTCAGCAGCGATTCACAAATTGAAACTCGGTCCATGAAATTTTTCACTGTTAATTCATGTGGAGCCCAAGTATTATATTGTTCAAAGATGTCCCATTCCAATAAAAGAATGGGTTCAAACTCAAAGAGTTTCTTTGAGCAAATAAGGACAATAATATAATTTTGGTGTCTCATGTGAAATTTAAAAAAATTAATTGAGTTGGTTTTCAAACCGGCGTACATTATCTCATGTAAGTACAAATTTGGTCTTTTATGTGGCATATTTGCTTTTTATATGGAATTAAGTCATTAGTAAACAGTCCAATGAGGTCAATGATAGAGCAATTTTCAACTTAGACCATGTCAATCAAAAAATGAACGTCATGTGGTGAATAATAGTACATATCCGGCATTGGCGTTGTCTTGGAGATACAGAATAGATGGTTCTCAAAGAGCACGGATGTATCCAAAATTGTGATGAATTAGGTATTAAAATGGAACATTTTTGGTTTGGATTATCAACAAACAAGTGAGTTGGGGTGTTGTGGTATAGGTTTTTCTAAGCTTAACTTCCTGAATTGTAATATCTATTTTGGTTTGAGGATCTAGTCCTGATTTTTACCTGGAAAGATCAGACCCTGATTATAACAATATAGCAAGTTATACTATTACCATCAATAGTATTAATATCACATATAGTATTAACCTGTAAGCTAAAAGCTATTGATATCTCACCCTAATTAATCTAAAAAAAAGTAATTGGGGAGGACAACTATGACATTTAGAAATATAGAGGGAGGATACCAGTTTTTGTAAAAGGCCATAATACCTGTCCTTTACTTATATTATTATATAGTTTTAAAAGACACCAGATGTTTTAAAATCTCATAGCTCGTTAATAGACAAAATAATACTGAAAACTTTATTTAAATAATGTATATCATGTTGATTCTTATTGTTTAGTCTTTTTTTTTTTCAGATGATGAATGAATTGTATTCAAATTTGAAAGCAAGAAAAATCCTCTATTACTGGCATAAAGGATTAAATTTATTTGATAAAAATAAATTTACTCCAGACCATGCACTAAATATGGAAAATCAAATTAGCCGTATTATATCAAAAATTAATGACTTAATTAGAAAGAAAGATAAAGAGAGACTAAGAAATTACATTTTAGCCTTGTTCAGAATTTCTGAAGAGCTTGCGATTGCTGATCTAAGTTTAGAAGATACAACAAAGCAAAATGAACAAAACATTAGTTGTTCCCTTTCTTAATCCTGAGAGTAAAGGATTTGGCCAAATTTCTATGTTATAATTTTCATGTTTATTGAACTGACAAAAATAACTATAAAAAATAATTTATCCCTTATTAGTTTCTATCTCAAAAATTCCTTTTATTTTTATTTTTCCATTAGTAATGTATAAGTAATAGCAGACAAAAAATATGAATTAATGAAGGCAAATGAGCTAAATGTACCTTTGTATTTTTAATGAGCCTGAGGACTTACCTAATTTAAACCATAGTAATGATGTAAATCAGAAATGAATTATGGATATTAATTATTTCCTGTTTACCTTATATTATTATTAATCACATATCATATTTAAGTCAACATTTATTGTACTCCAGTTTTATTGATAGATTATATTTATTTATTTATAATCTATTATTTTAATTTAAAAAAAAAAATGGTTTTGGAGGTTTTATTAACTATAAAATAACAAGGGTGGCCCTTATGGCTAATTACTCAAGAAATTACATTGAATATCCTCTTTTGTATAAATGTACTCTATTTTTGACATGATGAAGTGTGAACCGTTATATTTTGATAATAAATGAGTATTTAAGTAATGATTTCTGAATATTTTCTCCTCTTATCTGAACAGTTATTGTTAAAGTTATCTTTTCTTCTCTTTTACTGCTATTTTATTATGTGTTCCCAAACATAAGTTTTTTAAATTAATATATGTATGATGAAACAGCAAATTTGGAACTCTGAGGTAAATTGCACTATGACAACATGAAGTTTTACTAAAGTAAAATTTGTAAGTTAGGTTTTATTAATTGGATTGTACAAATTTGATGTGCATTATACAAAATTTGCAATTGCTTTTCTAACCAAAATATCATTTATAATGAAGTATAAAATGATTTCAATAAATGACATTGTAAATATTACATGAAAGGTCCAGAAATATATTTTACTAATAATTTCTAGAAACTACTTTTGAGTGTCTAATTGTTAAGATGAATCTAGGTTAATAATAAACGACTCTATAAAAAATTGGCCATAAGGTAAATGCAATTTAGAAAATTTCCGGAACAATAATTATTCATACCTCCTAATTTTAAAAAGACTGAATCTTCACAATTGGTTAAACAATAGAACACTCAGTTTTAGAAAAAAAATTAAGATTCCCAAAAATCACTTCTCTAACACCAGTTTAAATTTATATACAAAATTTAAACCCATCAACTTAGTAAATTGAAGAGTCTATCGAGGTGTGGTAAACTTTAAAAATCTGAAAAATCAACCTCATGTACACTCAAAATATTTAATAAAATTTACCAAAACTTTTGAGGTTCGGTTCTGCTTAGAAAATAACCCCACTATATGGAATTTCAACTTGTTTGATTCAAATAAGATAAGTGAAATGTTGGAAAAATGAAAACAAAACATATATATAAAACATTATCAAAATGCATACCCCTCCACCGCTAACAACCTTCAGTACAGAATAAATCTACTATTTTAGGGAAAAATCATAGTAAAAACTCATTGGTGTGATACTTTTCAGCCTTAAAAACAAAAATTGTATGGCACTAAGAAATCAACCTAATAGTTAAATTTGTATGCAAATTTTATTTCCTTAAATTGAAAAATTTTCCACATCCCTATGGAATTCTATCACAGACCAATACCTCCCCATCTTTAAATCCAGCCTGTTCAATCACCTCTTATCCATTCCGTTTTTATAAAATTGGAAATGGATGTTGTAAATACGTATATAAATAATTAGTTTGTTTTAAGTACTTTTATTTAATTTTTTTTCTCTTAATTGAAGTTTGAATGTAAATAATATTCCTTCCTTTTATTTATTCATTATATAAACCTATTTATTCAGTGATTATTCTCTCAGGCTCCAAAGCCCACATTTCCATCTCTGTACTTTATTTAAAGGGATTTGTCCCGGAATATATAAAGCATTATTACTATTAAGTTTAAAAGAGTTTTTTCACTTGACAGTACCAAATCTTCAGCATACCCAAGCATGGATATTTTTCTATCCATATTCGAAAATTTTCAGTTTATATCACCTCTCTAACGTCATTTTCTAGTATTAAATTAAATTGGACAGATGATATGGTCCTTGTTTCAAACCCGAACAAATCTCAAACTTCTCAGAAAAATGATTTTAAATTTAATGAATATTTCAGCCATTTACATACTTGCTATATTTACTACTTTACTTAATATACCCAACTCAATCAGAATAATATATAACAATAAACTTACTCTTATACGTGGACAAAAAAGAATAGAAGGAAATGAGATAGCTGATGCCATAGCAAGGAAAGGGTTAGCAAAATGTTAATTGGCTCAGAGGCATTCTGCAACATAACAAATAGTCAAACCAGGAAGATACTGAACTCTGGAAAATAAAGGAGATAGATATACTGAGTTTCAAATCTTGGTGTCATGGAATCCAAACTTCATAACTAATGGTCAAAGAAAAATGCTAAATTCTACTTTAATCTGAAGTTTTCAAAAAATATTTCTATGGGTCCTAGTGAAAAAAGGGTTTCCCATCCCCATAAATATTAAGAATTGACAAAGTTGCAGACCATATCTACTCTATATGATTGAGAAATATTGTAATAGATGGAAATGGAAAATGAATTCATGCAAGACAGAAGCTATCATATTTACACAACAAAGAGTAGTGAATACCATAGTTACAATAAAGTAGGAGTTATATTAGTAAAATATTTTGGATTCATATTTATTATCATAAAATCATACACACAATTTCTTTATAATAAAATTTGAATTACTCAAAATCAAACCTAATAATATAATGATAATTAAAAAATCTATTGAGATAAATAAAACACCAAATAAACCTGATAATTAGTTAAGTAGTGAAATATAGCAAAAAACAGAATATAAGATTTACAGAAGAACTAGGCACATTTTACCTGATATACTTTTTTTAATATTCAGGTCTACAATGTCTTAAGAAAGGATTATTAAGTATTGGGACAGCACCTTAACCTTAAGGGAGTCACACCGCATTCTCTTTCTGAGTTGATTTTTTTAGAGAACCACTATTACAGGTAAGACAACGGACATCAGAGAGGTTAAGTAAACACAACTTATAATGGTTTATTGCAATATATTCACTAATTTACAACAATTATATAATTATAATGCTGGCTATACAGAAGAAAACCAGCGCATTAAATGGGATGTCTTCATATTTTTGCAAAGGTTATAGCCAAAGTATTTCAGAAAAAAAAAGATAGTGATATTATCAAGCTAAACAAATAAATTGTTGAACTTTCAGTTTTGACAAAATGGATAAAAAAAAAAAAATTATTATCATAAAAGACTGAAATTTTGCCTAGTATTCACACACACATTTACTACATTAAAATACCGATATCATAATTAATAATGTTTGCTAATGAACCTAAAATAATCAATGACCTATAAAGCTCAAAACCCAAAATAAAATATATACATATTAATAAAAAAAGGTTTAGTTTCAATTAGCGTGAGCTCTGTCAAATCACCTTAATGCACAATCATTGACCGAGAGACAGTACTTTCTTACAAGAATTTTTTTTCTGTCAGTTAAAAACGTATAGGTCCATCCACTGACAGGGGGAGATTACGGAGCGATTTCAATGAAACTTTTTTTGGTGATATGTTAAAAAATATTAGAACCATGTTCGAGGGTTCTAGCCAATGAACCTTAGAAGCCGAGAAAAACAATATTTTATGTAATTTGAAATAAAATGTATGTAATTAATTTTTGATTTGATTAATTTTGGATTTTTAGGTTATTATATACCAATTGATTTCTTTTTTTCTGCAGAATAAGAAACGAATATTGGTTATGGTATAAAATGAGTCATAAAGTATCTTGAATAACAAAAACCAAAAGATGCTACCGGTAAAATAGGCTATGTAAATTTGTTTTTATGAAAAAGAAAGTTAACATTCATGTTCTTTAAATTGCATAACTATGAATTCTTATAATAAGACATCAAAGATTACATACTTTAGTATTTAATTATCTAGGATGCTTGTTTTTCCGGCCATTAACTAAAGTATTCAAAGCTTCCCAGGATTTTCTTCAAAATTATATACATAGCATTTTATGTAGCATGGTAAGATAGGTCAAAGCCTTAATTTTCTAGTAATGTTCGTTGGAGTGATTCTAAAGTTATAATTTTTGTGGTTGGTGACAGAATTTTGAAGGGTCCACTCAACTCTGGGCAAAAATCTCATGCAAAAATGTCTCGATTCCAATAAAAATTTAAGGGTTTTTTAAGTGAGAAAAACGAATGTCAATTTTGTTTATCCTTAAAAAATTCTTTACTTTAGAGCCAGACCTAGAACTATTTTTTTGCTACTCAGCAGGAACAAATTTAACAAACCAACGTAGCAATGTGGAGATAAATAGTTTAATAGTTAGGGAGAAACAAAGTTGATTTAGTTTTTCTCAGCCCAAAAAGCACTAAAATACGAATTGTCAGAGCAATTGAAACATTAAAATTTTTTTCATAAAATCTGGGCAAAGCAAATTAACAACATAAATTTTATTTGAAACTATATATAATTTTTTTTTATCGACTCCAATGGTGAATTGGCAAGAATCCTCAGACATGGGTCTAATATTTTTTGATCTAGAATTACCAAAATAAGTTTCACTGAAATTGGTGACCACATGTTCGTAACCTCCCATGGTGAGACAATTTTAGACAAAACAAATGAAGTTCATTTGGATGTTTGTCAAGCCATGAAGTGAGATTCTAGCTTTGATTTGTGTTAAAGAAACTTTTCTTTTATCTAGACTTTTCAAGTCAAGGAACAAAAATTTAGACTTCCCCATAGAACTAACAAATGTATGCAACTGAAAATATGAGGGCTAAAACATATGTCCCTTTTCTGTTTTTTGGGATCTGACTTAATGAGTGTTTTTAAAAACATATTTATGTCTTTTAAAGCAGTTTTGCTCCAATTATGAACTCCTGAAATTTTAAGGACTAATTTTAATCTTTTTAAATTGTTTTCCACCTTCTTATTTTGAGATGTTTATCTAACAAAATATTATCCTATCTATTTTATAACAGCTTTTATAATGTTTTTATAATATAAAAATAGTTGATATTTCACTTCTTACAGCAGATATTGTTAAGATTTTAACAGAGGAAATACATTTTGAAAATGAAAAAAAAATTCTATTTCCTACATCAAAACTCCTCTGATATTCTTGTGCCATAGATGTAACACTTGGAACTAAAAGCAATCATGGTAAAATAGAAAAACCGGTCTTTTCTAGCCTATTAAAAGATCAATAATATGACAAAATAACCACTAAAAATAAAATATTAGACACAATACTTAAATAGGAATAGGCAGTATTAAACCAGCTGAGAGAAATGTAAGCAGGAAATGGCAAAGCCCATTGTGTACGGTATCAATAGATTTCGACAAAACCTTTTTATCAATAGAGAAGTACGGAATCCACAAACTAAAAATTAAATCTTGTAAAGTTATTAGGTATTTAAAGATGTTGATTATTGTGTTTTTCATGAAGGCATATAACTAGGACAGTAAAAACCACAACAACAATATGCTTAGGAAATCTAATGTCACCTTTCCAATTTCAAGTTGTTATAAACAGAGGTATACACAAAAATAATTATTTTCAAAAAATAATTGGTTTTGACCACAATATTTAAGACAAAAAAAAAATGAGAGTCAAAAAATGGTTGCCATGATTAGCTCTTATAAAGAACTAACTCATAACTATGTTGGAAGCACTGTAAATCAAAATGGAGAACCAAAAAGTATAATTTATAATGGCAATGATGCTTTTATCTAGTTATAAACTATCTAGAAAAACAAGAGAATCTTGAAGGGTACACAATTGTGCACTGGCAATAAAAGATTGTATTTATATTATTAAATACCTATGAAACGTAGAGTGACTAAGATAATTATACAAAAGTGTTAAGTGTTGGGTAACAGATGATTATTAAGAATAGGTTTAAAATAATAAAATTGATAGACTTGAAATAGATTGGTTACAGCTGAGCAAAAAATTACAATGGATTGGGATGCACAAGGTGCTCTAAAAAGGTAAGAGAGGTCAAAGATAAGTTACCTAACAAATTCAATGAAGTATGTTGAAAAAAATGGAATTAACCAGGGCATAAATTTTTGGCACCACGAATAATACCTAAACTGAACTTTAATTTAACAATAACCTATTGCTTATTGGTTGCCTTGGAAGCTCCAAATGCTATTAATAACAATTCTATGGCAATTCAGAATATAAACAGAAGACCATAAATTAATAAAACAAAAATATCTTATGATATATTAAGGACACATTAATATAAACACACAGGATTTACCACAATTTTAAAATGCTGGATAGTTTCCTGTGATTACTTAATACCCAGTTGTGAAAAGGAGGACCAATTGCACTAATACATTCAAGAATAGCATAACTATCTCCTTCAGCAGAATGAGCATTCGAAATTTTTTTTTTCATTAGATGTTGATATACATTTTCAAGTCTATAAGATGGTTTTTTAACTTGAGATCCAAACAAATTCCTTCTGACTTTGGATGGAACTGATTGAGTGGGTCCTTGAGGTACACTTTCTCTTCTCCTCGGTGGTGGATCTTCCCTAGGAAGTCTCTTCTTCTCGGGTGTCTTTCCATATACATAATCTAAACTAAGATGAATATCATCACTTAAGATTGACTTTTCCAATTCATCTATGACCCTGCATATTTCAGTAGAAGAATGGTTAATCCAATCATCATCTTCTCTTTGGGGAGGGGTGTATGGCTGAATCACTTCATGAGGAATCTGCCAAGGAGGTGGTTTTTCTAGAATTTGTAATTCTCTGAATGCATGTAATGTATCACTGCATAACAATGTATCTGGAAGTGGCTGAAAAATTAAAATCATATTAGATCTTTAATAAATATGTAATAATATAACAAAAGCGTAAACTTCCAACCACTCCACAACTTACTATTAAAAATATTTTATTTTAGACCACTTTGTACACTTTCTGCTAATTTAAAATGTGGAATTACAAATTCAAACTAAGTTTATTTTTTCAATTTTTGTCCCATTTTTTCTGAATACTGGTGGAAAGGGTAACAACGGTCTGGTCTAAAAAAAAATAAACAAAGGACAATTTTGTCCCTGCCGAGTCAAATCTGACTCGCACCTTATAATTTGAAGGTTACAGTGGATTATGATGGAATTTTTACAGTGAGTTAATTACAGTTTTATTAAAATTATAATGAGAATACTTGTGATAAAGCTAAATCACATCATTGTAGCTAAAAAAACTGAAGAATATTTTACCTCTCTAAGGCAGTGGGACACAAATGAGTTTTGCTGCAGCACCCTTGTCGGGTTAAAAATAATTGCGGTAAACTTGTCGGATTAAAAATTCTTTATGGCACCGTTGTTAGGCTGGAAAAAATTCTAAGCATACTTATCCTTAAAGCATTATTATAATAGAATCTTTGCCCATTTTCTATGCAATATATAGAGATTAAATACAATTTTACTCAGATATTATCTCTAATTTTAATTTTGTTATTAATATATGTAAAATTATTAATTTTTAAAATGTTTATTCATCAAATTGGCAAACTTGACCTTAAATATTAAATACTGAATAGCTGAGGCACCCTGGGATAACCCAGTTTGAGAGCCACTGCTTTAAGATATCTTCAATTGAGGAACTCGTACTTTAAATATTGTCCTTTATGACTCCAACTCTTTGAATAAATGTACTTAAACAGCCCTACTTTAGGAAGTCAGATCTTTATCCTCTGATTAATGTAATGTTTAATTAATTATTAAATATTAATACTATATTAGGCCCCCTGTTAATTTCTGTACAATTTAGTAGAGCAGATGAGGTTTAAACCAGAACATTCAGCATAAAAAACCAGAACCCTCTAAGCACACCAGGGTAAATTGGTCCTAATAACTTAACTATAACAGAAAAACACAAATTCTTTAGTACAAGTTAAGGATGGAAATAACTAGCCAGTTAAACCAAAAACTGGTTATTTTCATTTTTGTTGACTTTTTATTTCAGTTATTTTACTGCCCATTTATAATCACCTATTTCGTATTAGACAAATAAAAAAAATTAAAATAATGTCAGTATTAAAAACTTATTAAAAAGTAAGTTTTACAATCCGAATGAGTCGAGCTCTTTTTTTTATTATTTTAAATCACCCAAACCATCAATCCCAAATCTCTCTTGTCAATCTTTGTATATTCTTCGGTCTTTGAAGATCAGGATTTTTACCAATGACAGTCTCTCTATAATTTATATTATTTTATTTTACATCTTAAACTCAAAGAAGCTTTCAGTATGCCTGCACCATATTCAGCTCTTTTTTCTTACTTTTTTAATTTTAAAAATATAAAAGATTGGAACATTGTTCGTTTTCTTTATCTCATATTATATTTCTCAGAGAACAGAAATCCTCTTTTTATTAATCATAGAGACTGTGATTGACGAAGTGAAAGTCCTGATCTTCAAAGATTGTATAACAGTTTAATATTACCTAATAAATAATTTCACAAAGATTTTATTGAAACTAATAATTTCTGTATTCATTAAATATTCTGTTTAAATAATTTCAAGTGTTAATTTTATATAAAACTGTGGTAAATAGTAAAAATATGTTTTTGAACTGTATCAATAATTATATTTTAGTACAATATAATTACTTTTGATATAATATATTTTGAGAACTAGCATTATACTTTAATGAGGCTTGATAAAAAGGCTCGATTTTAATAAGACATTCCTTTTATCACGGCAACTGTCACGGACCACTTTATTAATTTTCATGACAGACTGACTATAAATTCAAATCCACTCAAGCTCAATCTACTGCCACAAATCCATATGATCCGCCCAGAAGACTGTTGAGGTGCTGGCTAAGAGATTTAAGGAAAAAATAGGGAAAAATCAAAAACCAAATGATAATAAGTTTTATTGAAGATATGGATTGAAATATTTCAGAAACTAAAAATCGGACCTGGATACTGTAAGGATGGGAATTGTTCAGCATTTCATCCTCTCTGTAATGGGCTATTATTTATAATTCAAATTTCATATTATTAATCTTGCTTTGTTAATCTTTTCACTTCTATCATGTAATCCAAAGTACACACCTTAGTTGTTTTCATTTTTTTTGTTTATTGCATTTTATTCTCCTTGATATCATATTTGCTGAATACAGTAGCAGATGGAAAATGTATTGTATGTCAGAAATATATGTAACTTATAAATAAATAAAATAAAAATAATCTCATGAAATGACTTATTATCTGAGAAAGAGCAGTGTATATTTTCTCTTTATAATGTATTTAAATCTGTGAAATTCGTAACTTAAGGGAGTAAAATGCTATAATAAAGCAAGTTCTGACATATACCTTTAAGTCCTGGACACTAACCGATTCCTGAAGTATTTCCGATGAAATGAAGTATTGAAATATTTGAAAGGAATATCCTTCGCATGACAACCGGAGCGATCTGGGTATAATATTATTTATTTTGCTGGATTCAAAAAATCTGATAACCGAGTATTCCTGTTTTGTTTTTTTCTTAATTCTGAAAATTTCCTCAAATTAAAATTCCAAACAGTGGACTGCAAAGGGGAAACAGGCTCCAAAAAAAAAATTCAGAAAAATGTCTTGTATTTTCATTAGGTCGGAAACTTCTCAGACCACCCTCGTATAAACTGAACTCGAACCTGGGTCCTTGAAATCAGGAGCAAAGTGCCTCACTCTCTGAGTCAAAACAAAATCTAATAGAATTCACCTTAGTTACTTGGTTTTAAAATGACTAACTTTTCTCCAGTTTCAATCATCTTATCAAGAAAATGTAAAACAAAAGATTTGATTACATCGTTAATAAGACTTCAAAGAAACTGAAATAACAGGACTGGAAATAAAGAATTGACAAACATGTCAAAACCTTTTCGATTTTTGGAATTTTCAACTGTTTTTTGCCGCTACTGCATCCTACAGCACTGATTTTAAATCAGAATAGATGTCTTCTTTTTTTCATAATATCCTAATCGAGCCATTCGTTCTTACAAAGCGTTAAGCCAGAATTGCAATTCTTCCACAGTTATGTTATTGAAAAAAAGATTGATAGATAGAAAAATATAATTAGAACAACAAAGTTTGTTTTCTGTATTCAGAGAAATAAGTTGTTGCCCATTGTTTGACTGCACTATAACATTTTATATACTCAAATTATATTTTAATAGAAGGTATATATATTATATATACAAACCTTTCCTAAAATTTTGGTATGAGCTTGCAATAATGGAAAATCAAATCTATAGCCATTATGAGCAAGCAAACAAACTGGTTGGGGTTCACCCATAATAAAATTTTCCAATAGCTCACAAACCTTTACATCAAATGTTCTTTGTGACTCAAGAAGTTCATTACTTAATCCTGTGAATAAACAATAATTTTATTTATTTTTTTTATAAAATGTTACATTTTGCATCCATAGATCTTAAAAATATTCAGGGCTGAAAAATAGTCAGGATATATAGTCAAGAATCATGTTTATTAATAATTCAAAATAAAAAATTACATCAGAAAAATGATTATATGAACATAACAGTATAATAAGAAAATGTTTTGTTATAAATAAATGAAAATGATAAGTATATAGAAAGATGATATGTTCACTGGTATAAAGTACAGTTTTTAGAAAATTATCTGAGAGCACACCTTATAAGGACATTATAAGAGGGATATACTAAAATAATTATGACAATCAAGCAAACCCTCCTTGTAAATTGAGCATATAACTGCTTTGTATTATTCAGAGGCGATTTCCTCTATCTTCCAGATATCCATTATTATATTATAGAAGGATTTCATTAATTCTTCTCCTTCATGCTTAAACAGTTCTGCAGGGAGTCCATCCAGTCCCAGTGCTTTATTAATATTTAGCTCTTCCACTGCTTCATAGACATCTTTGATATATACTCCTATTCTCCTAGGACCACCTATTTCCTCGCTTTGTTCTTCTGCCTCCTCATCAAAGAGAACATTAAAATAATGTCGCCACTGGCTTTTGACTTAAGCTCGCTAAAAAGGAATAACTGAACCCCCAACAAGTCCTTTTTAACTCTTTGACGAGGGGAGTTCAATCCTGTGTTCCTACCAGATGATGCATTCTGAAATCCAAAAGGATGTCCAGAAAAACAGATTTAAAAAAAAAAAATTGTTTAAAATACTATTTTGAGACAACCTGCAGCAAGCTCATAGCTTTCAAAAATATATTTTAACCTTTATATTCAACTTTTAATAAACGGGACGTATGCCTTCTCTGTTGCACATATGCAAAATACGAGCAGCAATCCCGCAATACATCACTTACTTGGGTATTTGCTCATTTCTGAACAGCAAAATAACTGAAAATTATCATAAAAATAAGTATAAGTGATCATAACAATTAAATTACATTATTTCTACAAAAAAAGGGACACCGACAGCGAGCTTCGAATTATATATTTTTTGGTATTTACAAATTTTTTTCTTACCAAAAAAAGTTCCTTATTGAAAATAGTGCAATTATAAATTTTATTATTGCACATTTTGGGTTTCAAACAGTTTTACATTATATGAAATATATATATATATTGTTTTTCGGTGATGGAAGAATTATAAAACAACTAAAGTATCATTTTAATTCTGTATATTTTTATTTATTAATTTTTTCTGTTACAATTTAATAGTTGTATATTTTTATATTTATTTATTACATTATATACATACAAATACACACACACATTATATATATATATATATATATATATATATATATATATATATATATATATATATATATATTTGTTTAGTAGACAGAGATTCAGGTAAAATTATCTTTCAGTCAAAACCAAAATTAAAAAAAAAAATTATAAAATTAACTTATTAACATTTATTTGGTGTAAAAAACATTTAAATAGAATATAAATAAGATGATGGATATGACACAAATAACAGAGAAAGGACATATATTGGGTTTAGAATAAATCTGCAACTGATCCCTTCCAAATGATCAAAATTCAGAATGATCAGCTACAGGGGACTAATGAATGCACCGATCAAGCCACAAGTCAAACAGTGAAGGCGGAACTTGGCCCTACTTGTTTAAGTATCGAGTGCCCAGGCGGAAAGGCTTAAAACCCGGCCACAGCAGTGACCCAACTCACTACTGGGAAGGCATATATCCCGTCCGCACCACTGACCCAATGGCAAGGCATCTATCCTATCCTCAGTCAAAGGGTTAATTGAGGTGAGGACTATACCAGAGGATTTGATCATCTCCATCTAATTTTGGACGCATTTGGGCTTTTTTGGATTTCCATCTGCAGTGCGATCATTCTAATAAATCTTCTCAGATTTATGTAGTTTACAGAGTTAATGTTATGTAGTTAAGTGAGGTGATTTATAAGATATATAGAACCAAATGACTAAATATTTCAAAGTGACCAAATATTATTGTAATTTCTAATATTCTAGAGAGAAGTAAAGGTCTTAAATATTTTTAAATTCTACTGAATTATTTATTAAAAGAAAAAGGATAATAAAAACCAAGAGAGTAGTTAAGGATTTAAGTAAATAAATAAAAGCCTAAAGAATTAAATTGAATTCAAGGGGTAGATAAGGGGAGGAGGATTTGACTCCTTTGGAAGGGATGGGGATCAATTCAGTTTTTCAATAGACATCAGGTAATTAGAAATGGATTTAAGGCCAGTAACAAAGATTTTTTTTTGTTTTTTAATAACATTGTTTAAGCTTGACTGACCTGTGATCCTTTTACTCTCTTCTGCAATAAATCTTTGAGGATGAAAACACATTGTTAACTTATTTAGTACTCGTGGTATACATCCTACCGAGATATCATCAAAATGGTTAGGGGAAACAGATATCAAAGATAATTCAGTAATTTTTGTTTCCCCATAGTTAGTGGAAGGAAGTCCTGTAGTTTCCAAGTCCAAAATTATATAAGTTTGAATCATAATTAATTTACATTTAAAAACTTAAAATAAAAGTGGAAAATCATTCAAAACTAGAAATCTAATACTCGGTTTAGAACTCCGCACTTCAAAAACTGACAGTTACGATAAAAAAAAAAAACATTCCCCTTCTATAAGAAAGTCAAAACTGACATATAGTTTTACCATAGAGCTACATTTTTAGTTCAAAACGTTAGCAGTAGAGAAAATTTGGAACAGATGGGCCGTTTCACGAAACCTATTACTCAACCAGAACCGTTTCACGTGGCTATTAATATTATTGTAATGTAGTCCAACATGGACTACATAATGACACCGGTTTTTACTATTTAGACTTGACTTTGACTTATAGGCTCCGCCTTAATTTGAAACTGGAGCCGTTGGTGTTAAGGTATTACTCATTAATATAATTATATTTTGGAATGTTTCATCGGTCACTTAAATATCATGAAATTGATCACCGAGTTTGTTTATACAGGACAATTATAAAAACGGGAGGAATAAGTAAGGATGCGAGAACCTTTCTCCGAGAAGAATTGATGGTATCTTTAATTCAATGAATGTAGATGATGCGGATGATTAGCTGGACTTTAGTCAGTAAGCAAAAACACAGAAAACAATGTTTTCTATTCTATAGATTAATAATATACTGACATTTAGGACTATTTATTGTATATTTTGTTGCTTAGAGTGTTCTTATTCATTTGAAAATAAAAGTTTGATGAAATTCCTAAATTTTACAGCAGTCCGCCTCGGGCGACACTTATTACGGGAAACCCACACCATGAAATTTAATTTTTTTTTTTTTTTTTAAATGATTACTTATTTGCAACAAAAATGCGCATTTATCTGGAAATAAAGGTTTGCCGATACTTAAAAATTTAACAGCGTTTTGTTTAGATAAGATATAATGGAACCTCACAAAGCAGTTCCATAATAGTTTTTTTTAATAATAATTCAATGGTAGTTTTCTCGCAGAAGAATGAGATGGCCTTAGGGCGGTACGCCGCACAGTGAGTTGAGTAACGGAAAACCTGCACCATGGCCTAAAAAAATATTTTTTATAACTCTAAAAACTAGATAAACTGTTTAATTGATACCTTAGGCAGTTTTTGAGAATATTTTTAGTTGGCAGAATGAACATCTTGTACTGTTTTTAGTAAATAGTTGAAAACAATTGAAAATCTAGTTAATTTGTGGAAATTCGCGTGATTGACAGGTTTTGTAAAATTGCTTGGTTCGAGCTGATGGTTGATAATTTTTTTCTTGAAACTTTATACACTTTTTGCTGTCACTATGCTTTGTTAAAATACATATATAATCATTTCTAAAACTTGTTTAACTTCGAATTCAAAAAAACCTCCGACATCCTCCGGAAAACCGATTTCTTATAGTCATTGTTGAAGATAAATTCATATTAATTTAAACCACCATGGTCCGTCTGAAGGTAGTTAAAATATATTTAAAATTATTTGTGTATATATAAATGTTCAAACAATTTCTAGGTATGTACTAATATCTGTTATAACTAGACATGCTCCCAAATTTAGTTTTAAGAATTGTATTGAACATACAGAAAATAAGGTTCTGTATTTATTTGTTTCGAAAAATACCTCAAACCAAAACATTAAAAAGAAATTTAAATTAAATATTAAATTTTCGTTTTTATTGGTTTAAAATTTTAATTTTGTCTACCTAGATAAGGAATAAACTCTTTTATTATTCTTTTAACTGTACATGACCATTTTTTAGTTTTGCTCTAATCTAAATAAATAAACCAACACAACACCGTTAAATGAACTAAAGAATAAATTAAATAAAAGAGGGTCAATGGGCACCCGAATAGTTTAAGAAATAAATTTAATTTGTTTTTTGGAGGGAGAAGAGAGAGACGTCATTGCCCAGGGGGACCCCAAATATCTAAGACCGGTACGGAATAACATTAGTAAAGTCAAAGAATGCTCAAAAAGGGAGTATAGAGGGAAATGGAAGGGACACAATTTTTGACTTTGGGACAATGTTCCGACTAGTTAGGAGGTAAACATAATAAAAAGTCCCCATTTCTGGTAGGTGAGCCAGTTGTGAAGGTCACTTTATTTCGTTTTTTTTTTTTCACTTATATTAGAAAAACCATGCATCGCAGCGATAAAGATGTTATATACAAAACTAAAGATAATGAAATTTGCAACAATATTGATGATATTCATTTTTACCCAAGCTCGCATAGTATCCAAGTTATGGCTGTTTAATTATCGCCAATTAAAAAAAAACCAACGATTTTTGCCATACGTCATTATTGCAGTTTCTACCTCTGTATCTATTTAAATTTTTTTTTCTTATTTTTTTAAATTTCTTTATTGAGATATATTACAATCTGTCACATTTAAGGACAATAGTAATAGTGATAAAGAGTAGCTCATTCATACTACGCACAATAAATAAACAGCAATATAATAACACTAAAAAAAAAAAATTTTTTTTCTTAGAAATTTTATCTGCAAATCCTGCCAATTTTTTCCCATCATTACAATACCACTAAATAGGCCTACAAACAAAAGTAAAATAAAACTGTGCTAAAATGTTGTTTTATTTCTCTAAATAAAAATAAATCTTCGTTTTTTCTATTTATGTAATAACAAAAGGCTTAGCGAAACCGGAGATTCGATGCCGACACCATCAATCGCTTATTACACGCCTCCCTGTACCGTTCGCCGTCCAAACACAGTTCCTTCAGATCGACTTAAACGCAATCTTTGCTTCGGTCTACCTCTCGGATGTTTACCATTCGGTACAGCAAATATCAACCTTTTAGAAATTCTTTCGTTACCAAGCCCGACAATTTTACAAGACCATTTGATTCATCTCAATTATATCAACTCGGTACAGTTCACGCAACTCTGCGTTGTGTAACCTTCTGAACTCTCAAGTTAACTCATCTTTCTTCGGTCCGAATATTCTACGCAACACTTTATTTTCAAAAACCTTAACACGTTGCTCAACCCTTAATGTAAGCGGCCACGTTTCGCATCCATAAAGAACTGTAGGTAGGATAATGGTTTTATAGATTCCAGTCTTTAAATTCCGGGACAAGATGCACGAGCTAAATAGTTTTGTCACAGAAAAATAACTAGCATTTCCCGCCTTCAGCCTAACCTTAATCTCCTCTTCAATTCATTTTTTTCTAGTTATCATAGACCCTAGATACTTAAACCTTTCTACCTGTTCAAGCATATTACCTTATACATCGAAATCACCAGCAATATTGCCATTTTTGCAGCTAACCATTTTGGTCTAATCCGTGTTTATTTCATTATTATTTCATGAACAATCATGAACAACACCGTTGTATTTTAATTTTTTCTCCAATATCTGTTGTAAAGAAAATATTTGATCAATAGTCAAACGATTCAGTCTAAATCCACATTGGTAGTCACCGATAATTTCCTCGGCGTATTCTGTGATTCGACTTGTTAAGATTAAAGTGAATATTTTATAACTTATCGGAAGGAGTGCAATCCCTCGATAGTTATTATAATCCGTACTCGGGCCCTTTTTGTGAATCGGAATAAGAATAGATTCTTTCCATTCGTCAGTTAATTTCTCAATCACCCAGATATTTTTAACCAACAGATGCATTTTAGAAACTCCAGCTTCCCCGTGTGCCTTAATTAGTTCACAAGGAATATGATGGTTCCCGTTTCATCTTTCTCTTTACTCGGTTCTTCTATTAACGGTCCCGCACTCTGGTACTCAGAAGGAGAACACAGATCATAATTCCCCGAATTTTGAATACTGTCAAAGTGGTTCTTAAACTTATTTAATATGTCTACCGGATCAGTCAGGATATTGCTATTTTCATCCCTAATTCAAGATGTGATGGCCCATAAACATTTACGGGATCTGTTTATTTCTTTGTACATGCCTCTTACATTATTTTCAATTCCATTAGTTTCTATTTCAATTATTTTATTTTCAAGATACTCCCTTTTTTATTTTTGAGCAATTTTGTTGTTTCATTCTTTGAGGTGTGGCAGAATTCCAGATTGTCTTCGCTAGGATTATTTAGAGCTTTTAATTTAGCGGCTTTTCTTTTTTCGCACATGTTGAAACAATCTTCAACAAACCACGGTTTGTTGTTTTTATTTTCCTAGACACAAGTTACCGACCGCTTTAATATTATCTCTGATCTCTATTTATGTAATATTTTTGCATATTGCTTACAGTAAGTGATTTTGAAAAACAGAATTTAAAAATAATCTTAATGACAATTTTCATACAATTTTATTCTAGGTTAGTAATCTTATTTATATATTCACCTACTTGAAATTATCTTCAACCTAACGTCAAAACCACAGAAATTTATTCTCTTCAATAAATTGAACAAGAAAAAAACAAAACAATAATATTCAAATAAACCTTCGGTGACAGGCTTGAAAGAGCAAGAGGTAGGTTTGGCCGTCTGGTACTTACGTCACGATTCACCTGACCTAAGACGTGTACACTTTACAAAGTGCAATGAGCCTTTTAGAGCTCTCTCTTTTAATTAGTTAAGTCCGGCTTCCACCATGGAACTGGTCGAGCTATAGCCTTGCGGTGGTGGAGAGAATCTTCGGGAGCGTCATGGATGACATATGCAAGTCTGGAAACTGTAATCAACGTCATCCATAATTTCCATTACTTCCCATTCTTCATTAACCAACTAAGAGCTAACCCAAAGGTAGTTCATATCTTCAAAGCTGTCTTTCTACCGTCCCTGCTATATGGTTGGGTAAGGTTGGACAGACATATGAGCCATTTGATTGCGAGATATTTCCACCGAGTGGCTGGCAAGGCAAGTAGAGACTGTATCAGAAACGGGACCATGGAGCAATTGGCCATATCCTTATTGAAAACTGTATTTCATTGAAGGCAACTAAAGTCGTTCAGATATCTGTTTAGGATAAACAAGAACCGGAACCCAAGAAAAATAATAGAAGCTCGGCTGACTAGTAAAAGACCCAAAACATTATAAAATGAATATGTCACCAGGCTGGCCCTTGAAAAAGGTCTTCAACATTTATATACATTTTTTTTTTTCAATTAACGCTATAGGCCATTAGGTGGTCTTAGAGGGATGTATTTTTTTTGCAAGGGCACAGCTGAGAGACTAGGGGGTGTCACCCAACCTCATATTGCTAGAGAGCATGGTCTCCATAACTGACTCATTTGTGGCCCATCTAGACAATCAGCGTCTGTTTAACTGTCTCTATGGGTTCAAGATTCCAAACATTGTGACAAAATCGGTCTAGATTCCTGGATTATTGCTGCTCAGATTTACAGACTTACAAGGATCTATATTTCTTTTCTTGAAACAGTGCTCTATGGAACAATCTTATGACTATATTTCTAGACTATTTGGATTGAGGGAAGAAAAGATTTGGCATGGTCAGGGGAAGTTTGTCCTTCAAATACTCGAATTTAAAAACCCAACTATGAAATTCCATACAGAACATTTAGTTCCATATTTTCTAATAAATATAAATAGTTTAATTATTCTTATGTAAGGTTTTATTACAATTTTTCTAATCTTCATTATTTTCGCAAAACAATATTGACTTAATTATCAATTTTAATTTTAATCAGAATTCCTCAAAATTTAAAACACAATATTGTTATAGTAATAAAAACATATAAAGCTATCAACTTTTATTTTTTAAAAGAATAAAAACACTACAACTATGAAATAAAATATACAATAAATAGTTCTAAACGTCAGCATATTATTAAACTGTAGAATACATTGTTTTCTGTGTCTTTACTTAGTGACAACTCCAGATAATCATTCCATTACCTCCTATGTTCATTAAATTAATGATACCATGAATCCTTACCTGAACATTAAAAAGATTACTACATCCTTACTTATTCCTCCCTCTTATATAAAGTGAAATGGTGATCATTTCCATGATATTTAAATTACTGATAAAGCACTGTATAAGGATTATTCTCTCTTTTAATATCTCATATTCAAATAATTAGTTATACTAAGTAGATAACATTAAATTTAAAAACATTCCATAATTTTTTAATGACAAATAAATCTATAATCTTTAACTCCTACCAGAAACCAACAGGAATTCCTTTAAAAATCATTGCTTCCGGAAATACTTACCCAGTTTTAATTGTTTCTTATTTTCTCTAAAACATTGTCCATTCTCTGACCTTTTTATATCTTAATCATCTCATAAAATATAAATGCTTATCATATTTATTTATAATTTAGCTTCATTCTTAGCAAATTTTCTCTTTAACAAAATCATAGCCATTGTACAAAAATAATAGAATTACATCCATTTTTATTTACTAAACTTTATCACATTCCAATTACACCAAAGTTTTATCATTTGGTAATATCTTTTAAATTGTTCCATAATATAGAAATTTCCATAGCACAAACCAACATTTTGGAAAAAATACAAAAAAATAATAATTTAAACCCATTGAGGTCGTAACATATGGCAAACTTCAGATGTTTTATGTTCCTCTTTAATTTAGCTCAGTCTGAAGTGAAAACAATTTACCAATATTTATGATAAAATTAAAACATGACATTGCAAGTATAATTTTTCTACAATGGGCTAGGAAATAGAACCAAATCATTCTGTTCTTAAGGTTCCTCGAAGTTTAAAACTTATTTCAGAAAAATAAAACGATTTAATTTACTGATTTCAGGCATGACAAGAGTCAACAAACATCAACAGTAATTAAAAATTATACACCAAAGGATAAAAAAAAAATATATATATCAATATTTTTTGTTTATATCAAAATATACCATGATAAATATGATTTATAATTTGTAAACCAGTATACTAGTACTGTGTGCATCAGAAATTTATAAATCATTTTCAACTAATCTAATAACCAATATACCATGTAATATTATATTTAACACATCAATTATGATATTCCATAAATTAAAGAAAAAATAACCAATAAAATATTTAGTTGTAGTTCGATCATGATTATTTTGCATCCTATAGGCACAAGTTGAACTAACATTATTTTTTCCCCTAATCCTCCAATATCATTTAAAAAAAAAAAAATAAACTAAAATTTAGTTTATATCAAAATATACCAAGACAAATATGATTAATTTAAAAAAAAACATTAATTTTGTTATACACAGTTTTATAAAAGATAATATACAACAGTATATGAATGAATGAATAAAAATAATAATATGTGTAGTTACAGGCACTACATGTAAGCACGTCACAATAAAAAAATATTTCTAAATTTTTTTTTTTTAAAGGCCTTGAAGCACGAGTCAAAAATCATTTCATATATATATTTTTATTTTTGATTAATAACTGTTATAATAAAAATTAATAATTAACAAATTAGTAAATACATAATTTGTTAATAAGGAAGTTCCATGAAAGGAATGTTTTTTTTTTTTTCAAAAATGCATGAAAAGGGACTGTGTGGTGAGGGTCTTAAAAAACGGCAACATTCGGCTGTTTTCGGGATTCCATGAACAAGTGTGATCGAAGTGATTGTGAATCACGCATGATTCGTGCGGAACTCATAAGAAGTAGTACCTTACAAATAAATACATGAATATTAAAACCTTTTAATACATCTATGAAAGCCATTAATCAATTGAATCTGGTACTGTTGTATAGATCAAGTTCCCGAAATTAAGAGCTGAGATCATTGTTGAGCATTGGTAATTCATCAGTCAGTTCCTAAACGCATCCATTTAAAAGTGGGCAAATTCTTGAACTAGGCACTGAGATCATTGATGAGCATCGGAAATATCAATGGAATCAGCACTGAGTTTGGGAACTTGCTCATAGGAATTTTTCTATTTAGGAAGGAGCTACTTTGCTGGATTTCAGGTTTAAAAAACACATGAAAGATGAATATAAGATATATATACCTTCTGGGTTGTTAACTTTGAAAACAGAAATAAATGTAGACAGATAGTAAACTTAATATAAATACGTAAAGTAAATTGATAAATAATACCGAGATTATATCCAGAGGATCCATTTCTCCCAAAACCTCGAAACGTCCCTAAAATATTGTATATTTATTAAGAATAAACCTCAAGATTCTTAGAAAATATATAATTTAACAATCGAGAAAATAGGAATCAATATCTAAATATATTTCTTAAAATATGTATCTTATAGATCCAATACATGACATTATGTTGCTCAATATACCACTCACACAATGATTTTAAACACTCCTTCAATAATAAATTAAAATCAGTCATTTAGATTGAGATCAATATTATACTTTTCACAACCCTTTGTCTTTTGATTTAGTTAATTAATAATTAAATTAGTTTTTGATCACTATTTATAATTGGACATTTCGAGGAATTTCTTTGTCCCTCTCTTTAAGAACATTTTTTGCCCAGATTGGGTGTCACAGTATTCAATGAGCTTGGCCAATGGCTGTTATCATAAAAAAAGTTATTTGGATAAAGTAAATCATATCTCTAAGTAGAACCATTTCCCAAAATTTAAACAAGGTAAATGAGCAAGGATAGTTACATAAATAAATTATAAGGTGTGGAAAATGATACTGTATTAAAAATTTTTTTTTCAAAACTCATAACATCCAAATATCAAGGATTACAAATTTCATTAATTTATCATTCCAGTTTAGTTTATTAAGACTATAACAGTTGAAATAAATACAAAATAAAATTGTTTAAGTTAAAATACAGATAAGGACCTTTACTAATCATGAATGTTTTATACTATTCTGGGATTTTCTCAGATAATCCAAATTAACATAAATTATTCAAGAGCTGCAGCACCAGATATAATTTCAATAAGCTCACGAGTGATTACAGCTTGTCGAGTTCTATTAAAAGTTAATGTTAATTTATCAATCATTTCGCCTGCATTCTTGCTAGCATTATCCATAGCAGTCATTCTAGAAGATTGCTCACTACAAGCACCTTCCTTCATGGCGTAATAAAGTAATGAAGCCATAGAAAATTCCATGTAACTCTGAAGTACTTCAGAATCGATTGAATCATAAATACTCAATTTTGGGGCAGCTGCTATTGCTGCTTGACTGAAAAGAGGTAATTCAGAAGTTGTATATGAAACAACCGATTTGAATCTGTTAAATATTATTTTACCTGATGAAAAATTATATCTGCTCGTTTCTTGAGCAATTTTTGAAGCATCTACAAATGTCGGAGGTTTTCTACCAACTTCATGGGCAACCATAAGTATATTTTTTCCAAACAAACGCTGAAGAATAGCTCGAGATTTGTCACCAATACAAATCACTCTTGTATGTTCAGGATCTTCACAAAGTTCATTTCTGATCTGCCTGGATACCTGTGTATGGACAGCTCCACACAAACCTCTATCAGAGGTTAAAGCTATAAGTATTTTGTCTGGACTTTCAGAAACTGGAGCCACTTCAGCTTTTTCATAAAACGATTTCGCTCCTTCACCGTACGGCCTTGCTTGCTTTAAATCCCTTTCAGCTTTAGTATATTTGGCAGCTGACACCATTTTCATGGACTGGGTTATTTTCTGAATGTTCTTAACTGATTTTAATCTCAATGATATAGCCTTCAAAGTAGCCATGCCACGTACCTGTTGTTGGTTGCCATAATTTATGGCTAAAGCTCCTGTTTTAGCAAACATAATAACTAACTGATTATCACTAATACAATGAAGATCTAGGGTCGGGACAACGTAAAGGGTGTTCGGTGCTATCAGCTGAAAATTTTTCCTCTGGGAATACAGTGTACCCAACTGATATCAGTGATATACACAAAAACGGATTCAATATCGTAATACTTCATTTATTTATTTTTTGGGGGAAGAATGGTTAAAGAAATAATATTTGTTTCTATTATTCTATTAACTAATTTGGAATTTGGAAGTAACCTACATAATGTAGGGGGGCCATCGTAAAAAGGAAGGGCTTTTGATCGAAATGCATTTCACCTATATCCGTTTTTTATTCCATATTCCATTCACGAAATTCATTTAATTCAGACTAAAACATCAATAAATTCATTTTGCGGTGAACTGTAAATTTGAAATATCATATACCTATAACTTCCAAGAGGAATTTACAGTAAGTGGGTTACCAATTTCAACATTTTTTTTTTTTTTGGTGATACTACATTGCAAAATATCAGACACATGTCCCAGCGTTCGTTCCAATGGATCCTAGGAGACAAAAAAAAAATTATTATATCTAATTTTTAACAAAATTTAAGTTTGCCTTTGATTAGCTTATATTGTACGGTTATTATATATTAATCGATTTCTTTTTTTGGGCAGAAAAAGAAAAAAATATTGAATATGGTACTAACCCACCCACCATCCATCTCTGAAAGACATCTAAACGTAATTTATTTTTTTTTTTTAGTCATCTACAAGATGAATTAAAAAGTTGTATTTGTTTAGGTCCGATATAGGGTTTAAAAGAAAATATATCGATATCGTCAGATATCGTTATCATCACAACATCCCTGGTAGAATAGTTTGATTTAAGTTAAAATGTTAGTCGAATAGCTATTTTTGTTCGTTTATCAATAGGAAAGTTTTTATGTTGCAAATAATTTAACGTATATCGACTTAAATTCAGTTGACACGATAATTTATACTATTAAACCTAAATAACAATTGAAACTTGAGTTTTATTTAAATTTTACTGTAGATCACTTTGAAGAATATGGATTCAGATGATGACATTCCTAACTTGGTTGAAACTACCTTTCAACCTGTGCCTGTTACCGTAATAACGGGACATTTAGGTGCAGGGAAAACTACTTTGCTTAATTACATTCTGACTGAACAGCATGCCAAGAAGATAGCAGTTATCTTAAATGAATTTGGAGAAGGTATACTTACAATGAATTTTAGATCTTATTGTTTGTAGTATCAGTAATATTAACTTGGATTTTATAGGAAGTGCATTAGAAAGTACAATGGCTATGAATGAAGAAGGTAAACTTTTTGAGGAATGGATAGAATTGAGAAATGGCTGTCTCTGTTGTTCTGTCAAGTATGTTTACAATCCTAATTTATTCTCATAACTACATCTTTTATAAATATTAATCTTATGTTTTCTATTATTAGGGACATTGGAGTTAAAGCCATTGAGAACTTGATGACTAAGCGTGGAAAATTCGATTATATTTTACTAGAAACAACTGGGCTGGCAGATCCAGGTCAAACAATCCAATTCAATTTAAATAGTGTTATATTATTTTTTCTCATTATTATTTGTGCCTGTTTTTATTGGGTACTAGTATGGAAAAAAAATCATTAAAATTGAGCTACAATAGAATTTAAGTGATAAAGAAAATATCGTCGGTTTATTGCTTAATGTCAATTAGTACATTTTGATGGAGCTAAACTCTTTAGTATACACTTATGAATTTTGGTCATATTTATTAGATATCCTGAATAATTACAATTAGTATTTGCTTTACAAAGAGAAAATTCATCTGAGTACTTTGTAATCTAAGAGAAGTGAAATGAAATAAAGAAAATCTTCAATGTAAGGTTTTATTTAACTCATAGAATACAACAATATTAATGAATTATGATGTTTTAAGAACATATGTTAATTTAAATTTACATAGATTCATAACATTCACCTCACCTTATTCATTTATGAGGTAACATAGTCTTTTTAGTATGAGGGAGGTCTTCTAGTTCTTGAGCTAGCTCGTGGTAGAGGCCTATCCTCAGAAGGGTTGCTCACTGCTTGTCCTTGGTATTTGTTTTGCACATTAGACTCAGAGAAATCATCTTCCTGAACAGGTGGCACGACTACCGAATCAGGTCTGACATATTGCTGCACTTCAGTGACAATAGGTGTCCCTTGATTGCTATCTACCTCCTCGTCATATATGGTAGAATTTCTGTTGCTCCCAATAGAAGCAAAATATCTGGTCGATACCGTTGTTTCTCTTCCATATGGATATCGAATATGTACACACTCAGCATTACCATCCAAGAGGGTTACTTCCTCTTCAAGAGGATCAGATTTAGAATGATAAATAAACTGTTTTGAGACAACAGACCCAGAGTTCTTTAGCCAGCTGGGAAGTGATTCTCCATTCCCTGTACCTCTGGGATGATTGAACATGCTTTCATGCAGTGTCTCATTAGTTGCTGTACACAATAGAGAATGCACAGAATGTAGAGCATTAGGTAAAACTGATTCCCATTCAGTTGCAGGAAAGTGTATAAACTTGAGCGAAAGTAGTATTAGCTTCCAGATAATTCCGTTGTAGCTTTCAACTTGGCCGTCACCTTGTATATTGTAAGGAGTAGATCTACTGGATGTGACACTATTAGATAAGAGGAATGTTTTTAATTACTGTGAAATCAGTGATGTACTCCTATCTGAATGGATGTATGCAGGAGCGCCAAACAAGTAGAACAATTGAATTAGATCAGCAATCACAGAAGATGACGTCATGTCTCGGCAAGGAAAAGCAAAGGAGAATCGAGAATATTCATCTAAAATCATTAGAATAGAAGGTACTTGTTTCTGTTAGAATTTGGTAGAGGTCCTTTGAAATCTAGAATAGAAGGTACTTGTTTCTGTTAGAATTTGGTAGAAGTCCTTTGAAATCGATGTTTAGGCGTTCGAACGGTGAAGTGACTTTAATCAATTTCCCTTGATGTTTGAAGAATCGAGGCCTTATCTCAGCATATATCTCACATGATGAGGTCACTCTTTTGATCATCTCAAGAGAAAAAGGTAAATTTTCCATAGGTACCCAATGGTACATTCTCATGATTTCAGGATGACACAAAGAAACATTGTAATTGTTGAAGTTGGCTATCAGAATTATCCGTACTTGAACAAATTCGAGAAAGTGCATCAGCTGCTACGTTTTCTTTGCCTGGTCTATACACAATGTCATAATAGAAGCAGGATAGCTCTAAGCGCCATCTTAAATTTTTTTTCATTTTTGATTTTCCCGTTATGCTTGGAATTGAACATAAAATCTACTGAACGCTGGTCCGTGATAAGATGGAAATGTCTTCCTAGTGGATAGCTTCTCCATTTACAGATCGCTTCTACTATCGTATAGGCTTCCTTTTTTACTGATATGTGCTTTTGTTCAGGATTGGATAAAGCTCTAAAAAAAATATTACAAGACGTCTGTCTTGCGTAAAAGTGGCTGCAATAGCATCGTCTGAAGCGTCGGTTTCCACAGTGAATGGGGCATCGTCCTCAATTGGAGTCAATGAAGAATTTTCAATTTCCTGTTTGCGGTTGCTGAATGCACGTAAGGAAATGTACAGCTTGTGACAAGAGAAATGTACAGCGTGTTAGAGTCAGTATTTTCTTAGAAAATTCTTTTATGTGGCTCGAGTAACATGCGAACAGGTCGAACATGCCAATGGCTCTCTTCAATGAAGACGTGTCCGTTGGAGGTTGCAGATCTCGGAGAGGTTTTAGCCTATCGGGGTCAGGTTGAATGCTCTTATTAAATCTTATAAGAATTATCTTATTAAATATTTAAGAAGCTTGATTGATCTTTAAGAAAACGTGCTCTTTTCATTGTTCAGCGTTAGATTGTGCTTTTGAGCAGCATCCACAGATTTTTTCAGATATTCGTTGTGTTCTCTTTGATCTCTTCCACAGACAGTGACATCGTCAATATATTCAAATGTATCCTTCAAACTCTCTTTGCAAATTATTTGATCCATCCCTCTTTGGAATGTGGAATACCATTGGTTACTCCAAATGGAATCCTTTTGAAGTGGAAAAGCCGACCACATGCTTCAAAAGCAGTGTAGGGCTTATCTTCATCTTTTATAGGAATTTGATGATAAGCATTATGTAGGTCAATGGTACTAAATGCTTCATAATGGGCGATCTTATTTACTAAGGACTCTATTCGAGGAAGAGGATATGCGTCCAGGAGGGTATAACAATTTATAGTTCGGGAATAATCAATCACCATGCATCTTTTATGATTGTTACTTGAGGTAACAAGTATTTGAACTCTCCAAGGAGGTATACTCCGTTCGATCACCTCTTCGGTTAGGAGACGTTCGATCTCAACTTCTATAAATTGGAAATCAGTTTCAGTTTGTTGACGTGATTTTATCATTATTGGTTCCAGTGAAAGATATTCAAAGAGTAACGCGTTATGGAACACGCGGTGGAACATTTGCTACAGTGAGCGTTTGGGGCCGCCAAAGGACAGATTCACACTTCCGTGCTACTTGAGTATATCATGATCAATCAGCGCACAGGTCAGGAAGGACAGACAGTCTAACAACTTAATCATAGTGACCTAGCATGTTGATGTCAACTACACATTGGCCACAAGTTCTAGAACAGAGAGAAGTAGATGCTATTGAAATTATTTCATTGAATGGCTCAATCTTCAAGTTTAACGTAAAGGCGGATTTTTCGCTAATGAAACTGACAGAGCTTCCAGTTTCAATCAAAACAAAAACCTCTGAACTATTAACGACAGCTTTGACTGTTGTCTTCGTCAAGCTGTGTGCAACTAAACCAGAAGGGTTTCCTGCAACAATAGGAGCAGCGGTTTGTTTCTCAGATGTTGTAGACCTACAAACTTTAGAATAATGACCCTTTTTCGAACAACGATTACAGATCGTATCCCTTGCATGGCATTTGCTTCGAGTATGTTTATTAAAACCACAAAAATAACATTTGACAGAAGTTGCAGCTAAGGTTATATATTTTGTTCCTTAATATAATGAAGTGTAGCACTCTCATTGTGTTATCCAATATAATTAAATGTAGCACCCTCAGCTTCCCCATTATTACTAGATTTGCAATCAGGTACTGCATTGACGGAATCTATGGGAATCTGATGAGACCTTGCCTGAATCTGAACTAACTCAATGACTAGAGCTTGTGCCTGAGCTTCCTTTAATGTTAGCTTGGTACTCTCGAGTTGATGCGGGCGGAAATTTGATTGTAGGCCACTTATAAAGGAATCCCTGATAAGGTCATCATGATAAGTTTCAGCTGTAACTGTAATAAAACTACATTCTTTTCCTAAAAGCCCAAGGGCCTCTATGTATTGATCAACGGATTCGTTATGTTGCTGTGAGTGAGTATTCAGCTTATAGTGTGCAAATATTTCGTTGATTGGTTTTACATAGAGTCCCTTCAGAATTGTTACTGCTTCAACATATCTATTTGCATGACTTACGTATTGGTAGAAGTCAGGAGATATGTAGCTAAATAAAAGCTTCAGTTTGTCTCCTTCTGCAGCATGTGACAGCAATAAAGTTTTCAAAATTCTTGAACCAATGCTCCCAATGTTTCTCCGGAGAAGTTGAGTTGGGGTCTACATCGAATCGTTCTGGTCTGAGTAGTCTTTCCATTTCGCTCAGTGTCCGATTATGAGTTGAATAAATTGAAATGAAACAAAGGATCTTGAGGATCGAACCGAGAAATTTATTGTGAAAAATGTGAGAAAAGTTTTTATTTTTTTAACTTGTATATATTAGTCGAGACATGTAAAAACAAAATTGCTGACGCGAGCCACCAAGGAAAACTGTTTATAGCCCAAAAAAAGCCAGATTATTTCGATCTTTTTTTTGTTTTTTCACCTTTAGTTCCGGTGCAGGTAGGGTAGTCGGTGCAACAAAGCGAAAATCCTTTTCTTTCATAAATTAAATAAAGTTAAATTTTGCGTCGAACGAGTACCTGAACTTAGTAATTTGATTAAGTAGTATGTTCATTAATCATTAGCCGTTAGCCGATTTTCCCGAATTCGTGAAAAACAGACAAATTACTATAAATATCACTGCAGCTTGGAAATGAGTTCTCTAAAAGAAAAGCTCATAGAATAAAAGTTATAGAACATCAAATTCCATGTCCACTGAGTACTAACAGTTTTAATATAGATCAATTATATTTTTCAAATCAGGACTCGTTATTTCTTCATGAAATTTTTTACATTTCTGAACCCTCATATACAACTTAATATGAATTAATGAATTCAGAATTTTATTTGCGAATAACTCAAAAAGTACACAATTTTTGATTGATTATACGCATAATTATTTGAAAGCTTCCTTAATTTCCGCAAAATAAAAATCATACGACTTGGTGCATATATATAGCGTGTTAAACAATTAGTATTTTTTTGGTGAAAGGAAAAATGAAATGATATGTCTTAAGTGAAAGTTTTGAAGCTGGAAACACTATCTTAAGTACTTGGAGCCTGTCACAGATCTGGGATGCTATTTAGGGATACCATTATAACAAAACTGTTCTCCGTGCATTTGTGACTAATCCACTTGGTCAGGTGGTATAATACTAGCTGGTGACCTATTACTGTGTTATCTAATTTACTTTATTAGATATAATAGTATATGCTATTGACATTTACTTAAATGATTAGTTAATAGATTCATTATCTATATTTATTTACAGGACCTATTATATCTATGTTTTGGCTTGACAAAGATCTGGGGAGTGACATATACCTTGATGGTAAATATTTTTTTAGTGCAATATTTTTTATTTTTATTAAAAAATTTTTTTAATAACTAGAAATGATCGATTCCTGATTAGTCTTGTATTTCCATTAGTTTATTACTATAAATCCATTTTCATTGTGATTGATAACATTTTTTCAGGGGTTGTCACTTTGATTGATGCAACAAATGGAACTAGGGTATGTTTTATATATTTTTTTACTTATCCCATTCCCACTCTTGGCTACTTTTTGTCACACCATTTGGCTATTTGTTGTCACGCTAAGCAATAAATATTGCATTCCATTTACAGTTCTTTTTCTATTCTATTCTGTAAACTTATAAAGTTGTATGAATATTTAAATATGTTGTATCTAAATCTCCATGTCAGCTAACGGCAGTCAGTTGAGGTAGTTACACATATTTTATGGAGATTGGCACTTTCACTTACCTATAAATGAAATAGATAGTAAGGAAAGTATTGGGATTGTGAAAATTTTCTAATCCGAGTTTTTAATGGAAATACACAATTGAGGTCTTGTGGTGTCCAAACAACCAAATCTGATAAAATGGTCTATATATCTGTGAAAAGCCTAGCACAGAAACATTAGGTTGCACAAAACTTTATATAACAACATATTTTTATCATTTGCTCAAAAAATGCTTTAAAATTTGTTATCAAACTCTTATATCTTCGTACAATTAAATAATATCTAAATATAAACTATGGAATTATTTAATAATTAATAAAAGGAGACTTTTTGTCCCAATATGAAAACAAAATTTCAGAAATTTGGAAAGCTAAAGATTGTTGGAACATTAATATCTAAATTATAAAATCGTATAAGAAAATGGAGAGTAATGAAAAAATTATGAATAAGAATTTCTGAAAACTAAATGAAATTTCTGAACTATATGGAAACTTTTAAAATTGTATTTAAACTTGATAAACCAAAAATGGGGAAAGACAAAAATAGAGAAAGCAAGCTTCTAAGTTTTGGAAATTGTTGTTGTTGAATTGTTTAAAAAATATTTTATTATACTTTAGTGAGAGAAGTGTATGCCGCTAAACATTTAATAACTTTAGTCTCAATAATATATTTATATAGTTAATAATTAACTAGCCCCATTTGAGCAGATATTTAATTATTTAATTATACTGTAAGTAAAGTGGAATGATACACACTACAGCAGATTTTTCTTGGATGATAAGTTGTCAGAATTTTCAGTCATATATTTGTTTATTATGGTTGCTGACATTTCGACCCAAAAGTGTGGGTCATCCTCATGACAATGATTTCTGGTAACATTATTAACACAACGCAGTTCTTGTGCCTTGTGAGCATCTAAAAATCATTATTCTGATGATGACCCACAATTTTGGATCAAAGTAAACTTTTTTTAGTAATCCTAATAAACATATGTTGACTTAAAATTCTGACTATCATAGAAGATAACCTTCTAAATAGTCAATACAAATTCATCTCAAAAATATTCTTTGTTTAATTACTACATTGGGGAACTCGACTGTCACTGAAGTCAATGAGAATATTTCATTTCAAAATGATAAGGCTACTGCAACATCAGCATCACTGCTATCTCATTTATTTATTAAAACACAACCTTTTTTGAAACTGTTAAGAAGAATAGAGCTTTCTGTCTGCTTCGTGGACCTTCAAAAGGCTTTCAACAGAATAATGAAGGAAGACATTCAATGCTCAATATCTGAAACTGTCATTGACCGAGGAATGACTTTTTCCATAATGAGTCTCTATATAAATTAGAAATTTGGTTAGAACCAGGAACTTGTAGTTTGAAACAGCTACTTTATAATATTCTTAATCAAATGAAGCAGTTCCAGCAAGAACTAGAAACTACAACCTACAAAATCCCATGTTAGTTTTCGCTGATGAACATCTCTTTCCTTTGTACACCCCATGTTTTTATTTTATTTTTAATTTTGCTAGGAATTGGACTAATTTCTTCTATTATTAGTGTGGGAAATGGTTTTTTCTAGTTTCCGTTGATCAAGATCTCCTAATGCAATAAATATGGATATCAACCCGGGTAAGACAAAATACATGAGAATAGGAAAGAATCGTTGAGAATAATGATGACATTGAGTTGAACTTAAAGATTAAAGCAGGTTGATAATTTCATATATATATATATATATATATATATATATATATATATATATATATATATATATATATATATATATATATATATATATATATTGGTGCTCATTTCTATGAAAATGGCTACATTGATGAGGAAGTGACTCGGATCATCGAAGCAGCTGGTTGAATGTTCTCTTTTTTTATGGAGGGTTTTCTTAGTAAAATATGGGTAACTAATAAATTCTAAATGGCTGTCTACAAATCAACATTTCTTCTTATCCCCTGATATATTGCTGGATAGTGGACTCTCTTCTCAAAACATAAGAGCCATATTCAGTCAGTATAGATGCTCTGTTGTCGCAAAATGGATGACATAAACTGAGAAGATTTGGTCCGTCGTAGCTTTGCCCTTCATAAAGCCTGCTTGATATTCGAAAATATTTTATAAGGAGAGGGAAGAATGGATATTTCTCTGTAGTTTTCGCAGTTAAGAGGATCTCCCTTCTTGTAAATGGGGCATATTATAGTTTTGAACCATTCTTCAGGAATGCATTTTTCAACCCAGATGTATAAGATCAGGTTATCAATGTACTTAGAGATAACTACCTCTGTGTTTCCAAAATTCAGCTAAGAGTTCCGTCCACACCTGGTTTACTATTCTTCAGCCGATCTATTTCATCTGTAATACCATCCTCTTCATATGGTAGTTCTATCTCTTCACCACTAATATTGGTCCTATGTGGTGTCTGTTCTTCCATGAACTCTCCATTTAAGATTACATACACAAACAAACTCACCATTTTGTGAGATTTGTTTATTTGGATTCAGGAAATGTTAAAAAATTTATTTCCATTAAAAATTTAAATTCAAAATCTTTCATCATCGCAATACTTTCTCTAACTATAGGTGAAAGTAGCAAATGAAAGATTTTTTTTTTCCTCTGATTATATTTTTTATAAATATTTCTTAAGAAAAGTTTCTTTGCCAATAAAGGCAAATTATTGTGTTTTTAAATACTTTTTTTTACATAACTAAATATAAGCATCATGTCTTGTTTACATCTATTCAAATGATCTCAAAATTTTCCAAAAACGATCTGGAAAAATCAGAAAATTCCGTTAAAAGGTTTTGGTAGACTCCCTGAAGTACGATTTGCTCTTATTTCATTATTTCTCTAAGGGAGTCGTTTGTTTCTATTTCCAGTCAGTGTTAATTAAAGTAAATATTATTTTTCTTATCACATCAAGTTTAGTTACAGCTTATTTTTTCAATTTATGTTTAGACTTTGAAGGAGGGCCTTCAAGATGGACTTAATGCTTCTGTGAGGTATTTACAATTTGTTTTATATCACTTTTAGTATTTTGTTATATGCTTTAACTATGTAATCATTGATTACTTTATTGTTATTCCCAGGCAGATTTTTGTTTTTAGGCCTTTGAACAATTAGCGATACACATTTTTATATTCAAGGGTTTTTTATTACATATAGACAAATAGGCATAAAAATGTACCACAGATAGTTCATGTCAAATGGCAAAACAGGTTGAAATAAACAAACAGTATTTCATATTTACTCATTAGAACTAATGAGAAAACTGTATTTATTAGAATACATATTTGTTATACATTATTCGATCCCAAATGCTCGTTTCAATATAGGATACTATTCATTAGTAGGAGCCTATGGGTTTTTAATGGAAATGGTGAGGTAATTTAGACGTTTTAAGGTAAAAAAGTTTGAGCTATAGTTAATCTGAGGTTTTTAATGACAGGTATAATTTTATGGGATATCATTTAGGTTCATGGTTGGGATATTAGGGACAGTTTTAATAAGGTGATTGGAGCCTATTAGAATTGTCTTTGTTTGCATTCAACTGCAGCTTATTAGCTTCTGGCCAGTCACAAATTCTGTTTGTCTTCTTGATTTTTTTTTTTTTTTTTTTGGTGGTAATAGATCAGAAGGTGGGAAGGATAGGTGAAATCATCACATCAAAGGATGTGGTGTATAATAATAAATAATATAATTATAATATAATAATGAAACAAACACACAAAAAAACAACTACTAACATCACTAAAAAAATAATTAAAATAATTAATTCTGTATGATCACGTAGCTGACTAATCAAATAATTCTATTTGATCTAATTTCTTGCTAAAATAATTTGACTAAACTAATAAAATTTATATTAACTAAATAAAAGCTAAGAGCAGTTGAACTGGTAGTTGTTTCACACAGAACGTAAAAACAAGAATGAAAATGGTCGAGATAGCCAGAGAAAGATCAGAGCAGATAGTCAGGTCAGGTCCACCCTTGGTAGTCCTAACTGGATATAAGAGGCACATTAAAGAGATGACTGGTAGTCTTTGTTGCCGGTGGCCTTGCTCCTAATGGAGTGTAACGCATGTTTAGAAGATGTTTGGTATTAAAATTATGTGCTAAAATTTCAATCCTGTTATGTGTTGTAGTGATAAGTGATATAGTGCATACAGTCTCCCTTAACTTCAGACAGGTGTTGAGACCTATAACTACGAGGGAGGTCTGAAAAGTTTCCCACCTAACAAAAATATGACATTTTTTCTGAATTTTTTTTTTTTTTTCAACATAGTCTCCTTGTAACTCTACACACTTCTCCCAGCAATGTTCCCATCTCTTCAACCCGTCCAAAAAGTAATTGTTCACGAAGGTGATGAAAATTTCTATCCTCCAAAACAATTTTTAGATAAGGGAACAATAAGAAGTCGCTTGGGGCTAGATCTGGTGAGTAAGGCGGATGGTCAAGCAGTTCAAACCGTAAATTCGTGGATTTTCGTCATGGCAAGCCCTGAGATGTGAGACGGTTTTCTTGGTGAAACAGGATTTTCTTTTTCTGCAAACATGACCGTTTTTCCGGAAGTTCTGCCTTCAGCTTGTCGAGTAATGATGCGTAGTATGCACTTGTAATGTTTTTTTTATAAGATAGTCGATTAAAATAATTCCAGGACTATCCTAAAAAACAGTTGCCATCACTTTCCCAGCCGAGAAAACAGTTTTTTCTTTTTTTTGGAGCCGGTTCCCCCTTTGCAGTCCCAAAGTGGGTTTGGACTCTATTTTTGTTTCAGTCGTATAATGGTGTATCCAAGTTTCATCTACAGTAATTAATTGATGCCAAAACTCAGATTTATTGTGCCAACAGAGCGTTGGAAATGTTCATTCAAACACATTTTTGGTCCAACGTGAGCAAACGCACCATCCGACTTTTGGACAGCTTTCTCGTATCTAAATGTTGATTTAATATGCAACAATTATGTTAATATGTAACAAACACGTTCTTTTGGCATGTTCATAACCTCTGCTATCTCTCTCACTTTAATTTGGCGGTTGTCTAGCACCACTTGGTGAACTTTGGCGATGTTTTCGCCTGTAGTTGCAGTTTTTGGATGCCCCGAACGTTCATCGTCTCCCAAGCTCTTACGGCCACGGTTGAATTCAGCTGTCCTAAATTTCACTATAGTAAATGATGGTGCAGAGTCTCCATACACAGAATCCAACTCGTCTTTGATTTGCGTAGGCGTATTGCCTTTCAAAAACAAATATTTAATGACAGCTCGATACTCAATTTTGTCCATTTTCACAAAAACACTCACTCAAACGACTGTTAAATAAAAACTGTGCGTCCTGAACAATGACTAAAAACTGAACAATGAAATCAACTTGCTTTTATTAGGAGTGCTGCCATCTTCACGTTGCGGTTGGAAACTTTTCAGACCACCCTCTTAATTCCTTGATTCTCACTTGAACTTGGGAATTGTTATTTGTGAAAGTCTTCCAACTAAGAGTTTAATATCGATTGGAGTCTATGGAGATATTTAACTTCCTAAAACTCTCCACACTATTGTTTTGAAGAAGTTCAGTGAGTCACGAAGAGTTTCTTACACCTTTACTTTTCATTAATTAAATCTTCTTGGTAACACACCAAAAACTAAGATATAAAATAATTAACCTTTTTACTTTTATACTTTATCTGTTGATTTTATACATCATTTTCTACATGAGTTATGTGTTTCTACTAGTAAATAGGAACTTATAAATTTTTCTTATTTCTATTATTTAACTACTGCAAAATTTCATTTAGTTTCACAGATTTTCATTTTACCTCAAGTTTTATTTAGTGTGTTAGTCAACTTTTTGTTTTTATTTTTAACAGGCAAGCAGCTCTTGCAGATATCATTATATTAAATAAAATTGATGTGGCTTCTATTTCAACAGTGGAAGAGCTTAAAAACTTAATCAGGTCTTGTATATATTTTTGAAATTGCTATTCCTTTATTGGTCATTATGAAGCATTAAAAAAATAAATTATTTAATTGATTACACACCTAGTTTAGATTTTTATATTATATTAACCATAATCAACCATTAATTTTACAATTATATAAATTACAAAAATGCAAAGTAAAGGTGGAAATTTCTGATAGTAAATGTTTAGAATCAAGAAATTAGAGTTGAACAAATAAATTCAAAGAATAAAAATTTGTACCGCAAGAGCTGTTATTTTCCATTAATTTTATTTATTTATTTTTAGATCTTTAAATTCATCAGCTGTAGTTCTTGAAACAAGTTATTCAAAGTAAGTATATATTTTTTGTGCATTTTTTTTTATTATAATTTTTTCTTTTCTTCTTTTGTTGGGAAGTTTTTGGTTCAGAGGTTGGCAATAAAAAGCTTCCTTAAATGCAAACACATGTTCTTCATCATTTCAATTACCTGTTGACGTTTCGGGAATCTTTTTGTCATCTTCAAAACTTTCACTTAAATCAAATTCAATGTGCGCTTCTTTTTCTTATACATTTTATCAAAGGTGTTATTCAGAGACACCACATCACTTGATTAACCGACAGGTAATTGAGATGTGACAAATATATTTGTTTGCATTTAAGGAAGTTTTATTGCCAACCTCTGAATTATAAATTTATTAATTTAATTCTTAACGATTTTTTTTTTTTTTTTAGAGTTAATCTCGATAATATATTAGATCTTGCAGCTTATTCCAATGTTTCAGAAGATAGGTATGTATACAAAAAATGATGCTAATGTTAGCATCAATCACATTAAAAAAATAAAAATTAAAAAATTACAATTATTTGTTCAGAAAAATGTTCTGTTACAAAATATTTGATAATTTACAAGTATCATGTCAAATATGAAATACCTGTTGATTATGCATACATATAGGTGTATAAGTTAAGTTTCTAATTATTACATTTTTTAGTGATTTATAGTCTTAATTCAATTGATGTATGAACGAGAGACTTTTAAGAAACCTTTTTTATTTCAGAATCAAAAGTATAACTGAAAGCATGAGTATGATGTCAGTAAAACCTCACATAGAGGAGGTATGTATTTACTATGTTTCATTGCTGAAAATCATATTCTTTTATTTCATTATGGTATAAATATAAGTATTACAATTTTGTGAGTTATTTTATATACAGTTTTCATAATGTTCTTTTGGTAAACAATTATAATGATTTTAAAATTGTGTTGTAAATGTTGAAATAGACTAATTGTTTTCCATAAATTTTTGTTAACATTTTTTAACTCAATCACTTGATCTCCTTAATATTAAATTCTTTGTGGTCAAAAATTATGTTAATTGTTGGTTGAATTTTGATTATTTACTATTCATTTTCCCTCACCTTCATGGTTTCATTCATTCATAATAAAACAAATCTTTATGAAGGAATGTTTAGCTAGTATATAAGATAGTATATATATCAATATAGTATATATATATATATATATATATAGAACCATGAAAAAAAGTTAACATTTTTTTTTTTTTTTGTAAAATTTGAATCTCAAAATTTGTACGAAATAAGAGAATGGTCCTCATATCTTAGCTCTTGAATAATTTTTATAATTCAAATAATATCTTTCAGTTAATAAATATTTGTTTGCTGTGAAATTCAATAGTTGCACTTTTTAGTTTAGACTTTTCAAGTATCCTTAGATATTTGGCACTCACAGGGAATGCCGTCATCTTCCTAAGAAAAGTAAATTTATTTCTTAAAGCTGTCTTACATTAATCTTTTTTTTTTTTTTTTTTTTTTTTTTTTTTTTTTTTTTTTTTTTTTTTTTTGTCTTCAAATCTTCATCCACACCTGCACCTGTCATGGTAGTGACAATTAGCAGATTTGTTGTTAAGTATAAAATAGCACGATAGGCATGATGAAGAATAGTACCCAGCAGCACCTCTTCCCTGGTCTGTTAACATCCTGAAATCAGGAAAGGAAATCTCTCATCCAGCTCCTTTTCAGTCGCCTCCTAGTGAGCATGTCAGCTATGGCCATAAGTCTATTGTGATATCCGTGTTGTTTAAGATGAAATCGGGAGTAGGGTATATAAAGTTTTGTTGTTGATATACCAAGGGACTGCAGTTATTAGTCTTATAATTTTAGATTGAAAAGATTGTAGTTTTTGTGAATGAGTCTTTTTTGCTGAACCGTAAATCTGTGAGGTGTATGTCCAAATGGGTTTGAGCAGGTAAGTGTAGGTATTTAGTTTTTTGTCTGATTTTCAATTTTGATTTGGCAAAAAGTGAGTATTTTCAGTCGCTTGTTCAAAGTCTTTCATTCCATTTTGACGCCTGGACCCCAGGTCATCCTTCTTTCGAATATTAGCCGGAGGTAGCATACAGTGTCCCTCTGAGTAATTGGATTGTTGCTGACAAACTGGTGGGTATATGTCTCGTCGAAGCGCAAATGTTATGTGTTGTGATTTGTCATGATTTAATCTAATTTTCCAAAGTGAATACCAATTTAGTAAGTGATTTTGTAAATTTAGTGAGGCTAGTCTGGGGTCATGGTGTTTTGTTAAAATTGTTTTATTGTCAGCGTAAGTAGCAGTCAATGTTTCTGAGGTTGTATGCATGTCATGGGTATAGACAACGTATAGTAATGGAGGCAATATTGATCCTTGAGACACCCCTGTTGATACTGGTCAAGATGAGAAAATTTCTAAACCCTGTCCGACAAAATAATCTGTCGAAAAGGAAAAGGATTTTATCTAATGCCTAGGCAGCATCCAGAAATACGCCGGTAGCATATTGTTTTTGCTCTAGCGCTCCAGCAATGTAGTCAGTAACTCTGTGTAATTGTTGTGTAGTTGAATGAAATGTACGAAAACCGAATTGATGGTCAGGTATTATTTGTTGGTCTGTCAGTATATCAACCAGTATTTTGTATATTAATTTTTTGAAAACTTTGGAACATATCGGAAGGAGACTGATAGGTCGGTAGGATGAGGGATTGAAATTGTCTGTCCCTTTTGTGTATCAACTTGATATTTGAATATTTTCATTGTGGTGTGAATTTAGTTGTTCTCAGAATACAGTTGTATATTGTCATAAGCTAGAGCTTTGCTAGGCATTTGCTGAAGTTATTAAGTCATAACCTGGAGCTTTTCTTTTAGGGAGATGTCTGATTTGTTGTGCGGCTTGTGAAGGAATTAACGAAAGAGGGGGAGATATCATCTGTAATGGTATGTCTAGAGTATCAAATACTAAGGTTTCATGTTCTGTGTTCGTGAAGTTGGTAAATGGTGTAAATACTGATGAAAGATGGTGTGTAAATAGTTCAAATTTTTCTCTGTCTGACAAAGTCCATGAACTGTCTTCGTTTCGCAGTGGTACTGACATTTTAAGTAATATTTGAATTGCATTTCATTCAATCTAGTAAATTTATTTGCTTTATTAATAGGCTAATAGGTTAATCATTCCTATATACTTTATATTCAACTCCATAATAAATGGCAATAGAAAAATAAAGCATCTTAGTACTTTTTAACATCTAAAAATGTTTGTTGAATAAGAAATGCCTTATAATATTTGTTTATATTCAGCTTTTTTTTATACTGAATAAGATGAAATTTTCATATTTAATTTTAATTATTTAAACAACTTTCTAACACTTTTTGTAATTTTAACTATATTTATTTTTTTTATAGAGTATAAGTACAATTACTATAGAACCAGGTATTGTACCTCGAAAAGCACTGGAAAAATTTTATGAAAGAGCTTTGTGGAATAATGAATTACAATCCAAATGTGGAAAGCCTACAGAAATATTTCGTTCCAAAGTGAGTATATTAATCATTAATGGAAAATATAGTGAGTATAATAAAATATTCCCGCATTTTTACAATTATATATTATAACTAACTGCCCTCCATGCAAAATCTCCATTAGGAACATATTGCTGTCATCCTCACCACATAATCTCCCAATCTGAGTTGCCACCAGTTCTCATATACTGCCATTTTATGAACTTCACAATATTGGACTCATTACATGTAGACCACATTTTTTTTTTTATATCATTCCCCTATTTATAAAAACTGGACCCTAAATTCCTCTTGGTACCTTATGTTTTTTAAGCGTACGACTTCTTAAATGACTCATTTAGCATCTTCACTTCTAAATGAGTTAAATTATAATTGCAAGCGCAACCTTAAGACGCTGTTCATCCCTTAATGTAAGCAGCCAAGTTTCGCATCCATAAAGAACTGTAGGCAAGATAATTGTTTTATAGATTCTAATTTTTAAGTTCCGGGACAAGAGGTGCGAACTAAGTAGTTTTGTCACAGAAAAATAACAAGCATTTCCCGCTTTCAGTCTAACCTTAATTTCTTCTTCAATTTCGTTTTTTCTAGTTATCTTAGAACCTAGATACCTAAATTTATCTACCTGTTAAAACATATTACCATCTATATCGATATCACCAGTAGTATCGCCATTTTTGCAGCTAACCATATATTTTGTTTTATCCACGTTTATTTCGAGTCCTAGTTTTTTACCGGCTTTCATTAATGTTGTCGTATTTAGTTTTATAGTTTCAACGTCTTCGCTTAACAGTACCAGATCATCAGCATAGCCCAGCACGGATGTTGTCCCAACCAGCTCCAACCCTTTCTCGGTACGCATTACCTTCCTAATGGCATGTTCTAATGCCAAATTGAAAAGGACAGGTGAAAGGGAATCCCCCTGTTTTAAACCCGACCGAACCTCAAATTTTTCCGACAGATTATTACCAATTCTAACTTTATTGAGTGTCTCCGTCAAGCACAATAATATTTTATAAGAATTAAATATTTTCTTATTATCTTTGGTTTCTGAAGATGGCTTCCTTTTTATCCTCAATTCATTCCCAAAAGTGTCAGAGTTATGAGATAATAAGATTGTAAAGATTCATGAAGTTTTTTTTGGCTTAGTTCTTAGGAACGTTAATCATGTCATCAACCATTTCCTACAGCTATCAGATAGTATTAGGATTCTGTCATCTTTTGTCTCTACATACATGACTTATACAGTAATGATTTTCAAATATTTATTTAGTTGCTTATTTAATTTCGTAACCTTGTGAAGTGATTATACTCTCCAGGCGCTATTTTTTATTGTTTTGGGCAGAAAGTGTAGATAATAAGCCATTTTTATCTGTCTATCCTTTTTAAATATTGCCTTCAAACTATTTACTTTGTTTTAGTTAAATTGATATATTTGTTTTTTATAACATTATGAGAAAACAAGTTAGTCTTCAACAAATCTGATACTTTTTTTTTTAAATTACTGATAGATTTTGCCAGATTATTGATTCAGTTTTCAATCTATGCCTCAATTCTTCAATGATTTGACTTAATTTATAAGCCATGATGAGGAGGAAGGCTAACACTAGTGACTTCATGCTCAACCTTTGAGCTGCACCTTTGTTGAGTGTTAGTGGAGGAATTACCTCGTACGGTCTATACAAAGTAGTTCTCACATCATTGTAAAGTAGAGACACCATCCAATTGATATGACTGCAATGTCCTGAGCTGTGTCTGATAATTTTGATTTACTTATTGACAGTGCAGCATTGGATTACAATAACAGATAGAAATAAAAAAAGTTTATCGAGGAAATTTTGGTTTCTGTTCCTATATGAACAAATAGAAACAGTCATTATAGAGGAATATATGTGGGGCACTACATCCACAAATTTGCAAGCAAAAGATAAGTTGACTTACAATTTCTATTTCTGTTTAATTACCAGTTTAGAGACTAGGTACTTGGGAAGAATTTTTGGAATTATGATAATTTAATTATAATGTGCTAGGGAGATATCCTCTGATACCTAGTGGCGGACCAACCCCCATTTTACAAATTATACAACTGTTCATTTAAATGTACTACACCTTGCACAAATTGTATAAATGCATATTAGCATGTATTGTGTTACTTTTTTTCAACATGAAATAAACGGAACGAAACCGCAGTTCAGAATTAAAAATCTATATTATATATCATGCCTTATTGCCAATTTATATTATTACATAATTAGAATTATTGTTATTGCCAATTTGTTTCTATAATAAGGGAGAAACAATAGTGGGAATAAGAAGTATGGTGTCTTTGTTAGAGTCAGTCCTGATTTTTTTATATATAAAATAAAATATTACATTGTAACAACTAAAAATTTTTGTGTATAATAGAGATTCAAATTTATTTTTTAAATCCTGTTTTGCTAGTTTTTTTAATGCCTTAGAGGAATTGTTTTAATGAAAAGAATGTTATTTTTTAACAGGTCAAATGAAGCGTGGAAGTGCAAAAGGGTTCCAAAGTACCTTCAGCATAATTAAAATAACTTTTTATTTTCAATTTACAAGTTCATTTGCAAAGTCACATACTATTATAAATGTTATTTATACAACCCCAGGTGACCAGAGAAAAAGTTTTTCATTTTAATTAAATTACACTCCTTTAGTATTATTCAAGTTTGAAACTTGAAGGAACCTTGACCCTTTTGCATTTTTATGCTTCAAACATTATTCATGTCAATAATAATGTTTTTTTCAAGGAATATCTTTTCTTTTTGTGATTTTATTGTATTTTGAAACACTACATTTCAAACTATAGAAAATACTTAAGTACACTTGAGTGGTTTTGATTATTTTATATTCATACTTGAGTTGAGTGAAATTAACTTCTTATCTCTGAATAGAATTTGTTGAGTGCTCAAGTGAATTTTTAGCTTATTAGTTTTAGTTATAGTATAGTATCATGAACATTGTGGTACTAAAATAAAAATATATTGATAACAAAATAGCAATTTTATAATGTAATTTTTCCAAAAATGTATTTGATGGATTAAGGAAATTTGCTTAAATATTTTAATGACCCAAAATTTAAGATAAGATTCAGGTTCAGTGAGGGTACTGTTGCAAGATACTCAATCACGCTATTTCAGAATGATAATAATGGTGATAAGAGTTGAGGTTGTGTTGTAAATTATGCAACTGGAGCATTTCAAGATATAATTGCATAATCCTTCATTGTTCTCATGAGGTTTTGATACAATTCAGCAATGTATTACGAAATATAAATACAAATATATTATTTATTCGGATGATCCCTGCAGATTTGATTTGGATGAACCAGTTATCTGTTTACCTGATAAAACATTCATCTGAGATTTTAGTCAGTAATTTAATCATAAGATTTCCAGATAACTTTGCCAATTCCAATATATTTTTTATAAATACATCCAATTTTCTAAGGATTCTGAAGTTCAGTTATAATAAAAATTAACTATATTTTGAGACTTAATTGATCTTATATTTATGCCCTACGATGAAAAAATATGAGATTTTAATGATTAACTTACAATTAAAATAAGCAAGTTTTTTTTAAATAACTTAACATTTAGAATAGACTAACTATTGAGATATTATAACTAAATTAAATACAAGGAAACTAGGAACTAAATTGTATTTACCATTGATTTGAAAAAACTGAAGTCTCAGAAATATTAAAATATAGTAGTTTATTTATTAAGAGAGAATCTCAAGATGGAAGATTGAAAGTTTTGGGACATTTTTTTCTATCTGTTGACACATTGTTGAGAAATTTTAAATTTTTCGATGAAAAAAATTCCTCGGATTCATATTTTATCAATTTTCAGATTAATTTATCAAAAAAATTGATATATCAAAATAATTATACAGTATGAGTGGCCTCACATCAGAGATGGACATCAGTCATTTTTAAGAAGTTAAGAAAAAGCCATTTTTTTTAATATAACAACTTCAATTTAGACCAGTTATAAATTGTTGTTTTTCGTGATTCATCTTGAACATTCTTATATAGAATCATGAGAAACAGTTTAAGTTGAATCTATAAAACAAAAATTGACTTATCCCTTTTTGAAAATGGCAGATGTCCTTCTTTGATACTAAGATTCTTGATAATTGATTCTTTGATACATTATTGTTTAATTAACTCTGAGGGTTTCCACTACTTTTCTTTATGATATAAATTTATGAAAATATGATACCTAGTTCTGCCATAAATACTGTAACAAAAGTTGAACTTTATTTACATCCTTGGGTATTATTTAGATAATCTATTAGTCTATTAGATTATTTTCTTTACATGTCAGGATGATAACCCCAATTAGTTTGTATTTTTCTTTCGCTTATTTAACATGGAGTGGGGTGATAAAGAAAATTGAATAGGTGTGATCACCTTACACATAGTTGGAAAATGTAGGTTAGAGATTTTCAACACTTTAAAACATTTGGGTATCAGCCATATGTTCGTGTCCCGTACTATAAATAGATATAATGAGACCCTATCTGTATGTGACAGACCTCGACCTATAAAAGGCCGTCCCAGCACTGTGAGAACGGCAAATGCTGTGAAAGCAGTGGCAGCTCGAATCAGAAGAAATCCCATTCGAAAACAACTCATCATCTCTCAGGAAATGGGAATCTCTGTCAGATCAATGTCTCACATAATAAAAAGTGACCTTAGAATGGGTGCATTTCAAAGAATGACAGGACAAAGGCTAACCACTTTCCTTAAACAAATCAGAGTGGATAGATGTAAAGTACTCCTTGGCTATTACACCAATGGTCTTCGTCAAAAAACTTTGTTTAGCATTGAACATTTTACAATTGAAAAAAAATTTAATCGTCAAAATGATCGTGTGTGTATGCACACAGCTCTAAAGAATCCCAGGAAATCCTCGCAATTCAATTATATCAATTTCTAAAATTAAAGCATTGATATAAAATGAATGTTGTCATAATTTTGATGAAGGGCAAAAGACCCCACAACGTTAACTTTAATTAAGATGTAACAAACTATAAAATTTGTTGGCATTTATGGAAGTTTTTATTGGCAACCTCTGGATTAATTCAACAACTTCCTAACAAAAGAAGATATAATTACATTTTTATTTTACATATAAATCTGGTCACTAGTTAAAACATTGGCTAATTTAATAAAATCAACTTTTTGATATTATTTACGTTTTGCACGTATGAACTAACAAAGGTCAGGGTTATTTTTTTATTGATATTTTTAAAGATCTCCAAATTTACTTAAAAAATTATTTTTTAACTAAATTTTAAAATCTAGTTATCTAAAATGAGTAAAAGCTTCTATTACTTTTTTTTTCAGGGGATCATAAATGTTGGCTCTGAATTTGTATCTGTGCAGTCAGTATATCAGATTTATGATGTAGAATTTTTTAAAAAAGATGAAAATGAGGGACTGACATCTGTTCTTATATTTATTGGTAAGTAAAATAATTTGATTGTTTTTATGGGTAAAAATTATATTAGAATATAAAAATACAAAGGTGGAAGAGAAGAAGCATGCTAATAAGTAAACAAAGTTTGCATGAATATAGTTGGCTTATTTCTGAGCCTTAAAGAATGAAACAATTAAATTCTTCAAAAATAAATTAGAGTATCTTAAAAACAAAACAACAAAAATATAAACTAATAAGATCAAAAATAACATAAGGGGGCATTTAGAAGAGTTGCATAATGAAAAGATCTGAGAAAATGAGGAGACTGTGTGAGTTAGTACCTAGATGGTACCATTCAACGAATTCTATGCAATACTTATGCTGACGTTAATTTATTTTCTTAAACACGTCTCTATTTCAGAAACGGCTCTAGAATGTTGGGAATAGTAAAAAAATAATTCTGTCTCAGTTTTATCAAATTCCATTCCCTTCTTCCTCTTTAATAAGCATAAATGTATTTTCCTAGATAGACCTATACCTCGTGCAATCTGGCCCAAATTCGGACAGAAATTATGTATTGGTGAACGGTTGATCAAGAAGGTACCAGTTTCAATAAATTCTATCCAACACATGCAAATAAATATTTTCGTTTACTGATGAGCAAACGTATTACTCTGGATACATCTGTATTTTGAAAACAGCTTCTCTTTCAATTTTTGTCAAAATTGGAGAAATATGCTCTAATTTTCTGAATATCAACACTTTAGAGTGGCTAAGCTAAGCTGAGTTTTTTTTGTTTTTTTTAAATCAAATGATTCACGTTTTTTTTTTATCATCATCCAACTACACTACAGATGTCCCACTTTTAGAATAACTTCTTCGTTTTAATAAGCTTTAAGTCCATATTAATTAAGTTGAGGTTTATTTGGCAAAAATTGTGAATAATATGATTTTTTTTAAAACAGAATTTAACTTAGTTTAGCCGTTCAAAAGCCCTCTTTAAATGGTTTTAAGAATGACAAACTCTAATTTCATTTGAAGCCAATTTGGTCTTGTTTACAGTGAAGCAATTGTTAAATACTTAAATTATATATTCCTTTAGTTATCGCTTGTTATTATATCCTTAATGATGGTCATGAAGTATTTGATGAAATTTGTCTTTCTACTTTTCATACTTCATAATGTACCATTACGAATTAATTTTTGGAATCGGTTGTAGCAACTAAATTATTAATTGGTTCAAAGTCTCCACTGCTAGAAATGTTAGTAATATTTTTGTATGGAGAACAACTTTTTAAGGATTCTTTTATAAGTTTTAAAATCAATTAAATAGAAATATTGGTTTTTGTTTTTCGCCATTTAAGAATTATTTCTAAAACATTATATTTATTTTTGTTATAGGTAGACATCTAGATGAAGATACCCTCAGAGAACTTTTAAATAATTGTATTTTAAACTATAGTTCATAAATAAACACATTTTGAAATCTATCATTGATTATGATATTAATTACCACTCAACATTTGTCTGTTTAGTATTAAGTTGTCATAGTTAAACATTTTATTTTGTTTGGTGCTTTTCTCAAACAAATATTACATCATTAAATTATTATTATTTAGTTACAGAAATAGAATAAAAATGATCGAGAATGTTCATATTTCTATGTTAATATATAAGTTGATGATAAATCAAGAAGGAAATGATCCGGGAGTCGTGAAAGAAAAATAAAATAAAATCAAGCAACTGCTTACCTACCATTTAGTTCTTCATCAGGGTGTTATCCAGATTAAATCTTCTCGCTCAAAAGAGATCTTAATTTATAGCTCAAGATGTAACTACTCAATGTATTCTTTTGTAGTACTTTTATAATTAGTAAATATTATTTGCCAAATGTTTTAACAGTACGACTTATGAAATCGAAAATAATTGAATTTAATTAATTAAAAGAAATCAGAACAATTCCTTGTTTCTAAAATTATTAATGTGAGGTACATCGTTATTATAATACCACAGTTATTCTATTTGGAGCGAAAACTTTGTTAGTTCCAGCTCCCATAAGATATTAATACTAATTAAAGATTGTCAACCATTGCTTCTTCCAATATAAAAAACAATAAATCTTATATAAACATTTATTGACAATTATACAAACCATTATATATTTTTTTAGTCTAATTCGTTTAAGAACTCAACAGGTATTATAATTTTACAAACAGGGCACTTATATTCCTCTTCATCCTAAAACAAAAGAAACATTTCTAAATTATATAATTATCATATTAAAATAATTTCTATTAAAAATACTTTTAATTGTTAGAATAATTTTAATAATGTAATTATATGATCTTTATTTTGTGTTATAGAGTTCTATGAGGAATTGATTTAATGAATATTCAGTCCTGTGTGTTTGTGATTATATCTGTATCACTGAACAGAAATGGCTAGTGCCCAAAACTTAAAAATTTGAGAGAATTAAAAGAAAATTAAAGGCAGCCGATTGCTATGGCAAAAAGTCACAAAATAAATTTTTGATGGAACTAACCTGTTTTAAATACAATTTAGTGAATTCAAACACAATTTATTGATACAAGTAAATGCATCAAAATGGCTTATATCACACGCAGAAAACCTCTTTACCATTAGATGCCACATTACAATTAGCAAGTGGTAATGGAGGCAGCAATAATTTTCAATATTTTATTCTAGCTATTTTATTTATATGTAAGTACACACCCAAGTTCATATATTCAACTTATTCCTATTAATTTTCAATTTTTTGAAACCAACATTAATTAATTCTAGCTTTAATTTGGAGGCCACAGGTTCTCCACCTAAGGCAAAAACCGTGGATATATCATAGTTGCCCAAAGTGCAGAATGTTGGGATTTCAGATAAGAAAAATTCATCAAAGTACTTTGTGATTTAATTTTACTTAATGTTATATGATAACAATTTACAATAAACCCACAATATATTAATTATAAAAAGAGTAAAGATCCGTCCACTATTAGTTAATGAATGAGGCCTATGAACTGATAATGGGAAATTGTTGATCTTTTTCCATTCCACCGTAGACCTTAAAGGAACATTAAGAAAAGAGGATTGAAGATCGAGGAAAAAGGATTGTAAAAAATGAGTTTTCAGCCTGAAAAGTACCAGTGCAATATTCATAGCTTTCAATTGTGAACCAATATTGATATACGGTCAACAACATGTTGACTTTGTTGAACTGTGGAATTTCCTTAGTGGGATATGAACTGGTGTAAAGAAAGGGATACTTTTGGGATTAGAATTAAGGTAAAATAATTTTGAGGATTTAAAAAAAAAAATAAAGGATTGGTTTATACCAATACCTTATGGCTTATTGGTCTTAAGATGAATTGTTTTTAGGTAGAAATACAATTGATTTTTTGGTATGTTGTCCAATGATCTGAGAATTGGGCAGATGATCAGGATTTTTTTTAGTAAGGCATTTGACCTCAGATATGTTGACAGCATTAGGAGGTAGGAAGAGAGGATGTCCGTAACGTCAGCCGTAAGGGTGAGATGATGAGTGGATGTATTAGATAGATGTTAAAATTTAGTGTTATGGTGTTTAAAGGGGCTGTATGCCCTAGCAGGCAAACTGTACATTGCCTGGCAACCTGATAATCGAAGTTTTGAGATAAACAAATAATTAAGAGCTCAAATCCCGGTGGCCAGTTGGAACTCTGCATAATTCCCCCGGTCCGGGAAAAACCCACGTAGCCTAAAAGTCAAGGAAGGGAAAACCAAAAAAAAAAGAAGTCATAGTGTTTAAACAATTAGGCCGAAAAACTAGTCTTAATAACTTTAAAAAACCTCAGTTTTTTTGTTGAATGTTCAGTTGAAACCTAAGGTGCACTAACATACACCAGTCATGAAAATATTATACCCAATAAATTAAACAAATATTCTTCAAAAATTGAAACGGCAGTGACCCTGAGATCTTTTGTGAATATGCTATGGAAGTTCTGGCAACATTTAATTTTACTCAGTCGCCACTGTCTTGAATACCAGTAATGCAGCTGAGATAGAAGTACTGAAATCTCCTAAATCAAGCTTTGCCATCCACTTGTGGGATGACACTGATACTAAATATGTATGCCAAACATCTTATTTTGTTAAAGAAGTTGATTGAGGGAAGGGAAGGGTGGTGCGACCAGTAAAGAGTAGAACAACAAATAAGTTGGTTAATTTGGGTCTTGAATCTGAATAAGTTTAACCAAGTATTTTTTTATTGGTACACCATATGTTCATTAATTCTTCATCAAATCAAATGATCGGGTCATCACTTTGATTTTTCTTATATAAAGTCACTAAAAAGCTATAAGTAAATACATAAATATGACATTACTGATTACGGTCGCCATTCAGATTCGACATTTTGCTATAAGGTTGGCCTTGAAATACTATGGTAAACCAACTAAATTGAAAATATAATTTTTACGTTTGTTACTTTAACATGGTGCAATAACAGAGTTACAAATTTATGTATCTTAGTCTGACATAATAAAAATACCAACTAATTTATTGTTAATTGTTATTTCAATTGTGTAATGGATTGAAATTAAACATTGTATAGATGCAAGTAATTTTACATGTTAAGGGAAGTTTGAATGTGGAGTAGGTGTTGGAACAGGAGTTGTTTGAAGGAATTTGTGAATGAGGATTGACGCATGGAGGTAGGAAGTGAGTTCCATAAGGAAGCAGCACGAATGATGAAGGATTTGCTGAAGGAGGAAGTTTTATGGGAGGGAATATATAAGTCTATAGGTTGAGACCTAGTATTGAGAGAATGGATAGAGGAGCGCAGAGTAAGGAGTTCCAGGATGTAGGGAGGGTTTTTAGTTCTGAAGACTTGGAAAAGGAAAACGCCAAGAAGGAATTGTCGTCGGGAAGTAGGATAAAGCCACTTCAACTCGGTGTACCATAGTGAAACATGTGAATGTCTGGGGATCCCGAAAATGTATCTTATGAAACAATTCATGAGTCTTTTTAGTCTCATTTCCAGCCTGGCAGATAGCCCTCCATACACCAAGCAGCAGTAGTCGAAGTGGGGGAATACAAGGGAGGTTACAAGGAGCTGTCTGGTTTTTAGAGGAATACAATCACGGAATCTTAGGAGTTGTTTAAGGGCATTTATGGATTTTCGACAATATGTATTTATTGAATAAATAAAAGAGTTATGAAAAAGCATTGTTTTTGAATATCCTGAGAAATCACAATAACCCAAAAATCTTGTACTTTAGTGTTCAATTATAAAAATTAAAATTTTAATAAATAACAGAAAATATCACAATAATATAAAGTCATGGGTGATAAATATTCAGGACGCAGTCATTTTAGTTTTTATCGATACCGACATTTCAATCCAAACATTTGGGTCATCATCAGGTGATGTTTCGAGCACTGAAGATATTCAAGTCTTTCTTCAAAGACAAGGCATTCAAGTCCAACTTCCTTCAATAATAATAATAAGTATACAAAATAATCATAAGTCAACAGTGAAAGAGATTGTAGAGTAGTTGCATCTTTGCATACCTATATAAAGTTAAATGTAAACCAAAATATTTTACAGGAAGGAGATGGTCCGTGTGGTGGTCATAAATAGACTAAATAGTGACAAAACTATTTTATTAAAAGCCGACAGTTCGATCTGACTTTGCAGGTCTTCTTCAGGGAGGTGTGTTCAGCTAGGAGTTTCACTTAGAACTGCAGTTCCTAGCTGAACACACCTCCCTGAAGAAGACCTGCTAAGTCGGGTCGAAACGTCGGCTTTTAATAAAATAGTTTTGTCACTATTTAGTCTATTTATGACCACCACACGGACCATCTCCTTCCTTTATAATGCAACGGTCAACTATTAAATATTCAAAAATATTTTACAACTTACCATATGCAAGATGCGATTAGCCTGTAAACATATCTTATGGAAATGGTGTCTACATGGAAGCTGAAGTGGTTCCTCAGAATATCCCCTTTGACAAACTGGACAGCAACTAAAAAAATAAAAGATTAATAAATAATTGTGTTAACATAACATAAATTGTAACGCAAACGATCTTTAAGCAGATTACTGACTTCTTATAGTTACACTTCAACATTACATTGTTATATATTATTTATGATAATTCTGATTTGCAAATTCTGAGAGAACTGATAAACTATAAACAAATATTTTAGAGACTGTTTGACAAATATATAATTGACTGTTAAAATTGTAAAGATGAAAAAATGATCAGAGTATGCAGTCAAAAAAGTTTGTTTATTGACAGCAGATCCTAATCATTTTCCACCCTTATAAACAAATATACTAACTTAAGTCAATATTTGAAAAAAAAATATTCCATTCAATTTCAAAAAGGACTGTGATGCTATAAAACTACAAGTTGCAGAATATTTAATAGTACTAGAAGGTATGAGTATTGGGGCGATAAATTGCTCAATTATTACACCAATAGAATTCCT